TTAGGAGGGTGTCTACACACCAAAGGCTGTTACTGAGTACAAGGCCGACAAGGACAACATCAAGGATGTCTACATCAACACATCAGTCACCGCTATGGTCGAGAGAGTTCTTTCCGTCTCCAAATACCTTATCTATATCCCAGAGAAGGACGCAAGAATGGCTGTCTTGCTTGCCAACTGCAGACTCCCAAGAGACGACGAGAATGAAGCCCTCAAGAAGTTCAACCAAGAGTCCATTTCAGAAGTCAGAAAGTTGGTTGGAACCAACGAAGTCACCGTCGACTTCAGAAACTTCAACAAAGGAAACTTCCTCGTTGATATCACCGTTAAGAAGACATCATTGGTCCACTATGTCTTGGACAACGCATTTGCCCAATTTGCTGGAAAGGAAAACACTTCTGAGAAGAATGAGGCTGCTAAAGAGAACTCTACTGGTATCTACCAATTCAAATCTGCTGAGAGAAAGACCGAAGAAGTCGCTAAGCCAGTTGAGAAGAAGGAATTCAAGAAGCACGACGAGATCAGATTTGGTGCTGAGCAAAAAGTCTATTTGACTGGATTTGATGGATCTAAGGTGTACTACTACAACTCCGTTGAAGACACAAAGTTCATTGAAGACATGTCAAAGAAGTTTGCTGTCATCAAGAAGGCTGCTTTTGAGCTTAAAGTTGGTGAAATGGTTGCCGTTGAATACAAAGGAAAGTGGTACAGAGCCAATGTTGTCGTTGTTGCTCCAAAAGCCAACATTCTCAAGTGTGTTGATACTGGTGTCTTTGTCACTGTTGGCAAGAAGAAGACCAAGATGATTGGCGAAGAAGAAAAGAAGGCTCCAATCAACGTCAAGTCTATTGGCCTTGTTGCCATTGACTGCCTTATCAAGGGAAAGAACGTCGAGTTTGACATGATGGTGAACACCGTCCTTGAGTTCTGCAACAAGGAAGCGTCAATTTACATCTCAGGAAAGGCCGAGACTGAAGCCGCCAAGGTGGTTGTTGGCAATGTCTGCATCAACACCATTTTGGTTCAGAACGGTCTTGCCACGTTGTCCAGATTCTTCAAGGACAACACCGAGTGGGGAACAGCACTCACTTATGCCCAGGCTGCTGCCAAGGAAGGACACATGAACGTCTGGAGATATGGTGAGATCTTCGACGAGAATGAGGGTAAAGAGTTTGACAGAAAGGACGGTTCAAAGGATGCTAAAGGAAAGAAGCCAAAATCTGCTCCAAAAGAGCACAAGGCTGAAACAGAAAAGAAGAACTAAACACAACTAATTCGAGACTTCCTTTGGTGAACATTTTGGTTTCTTTTAATTTATATTTCACTTTCATTCAAAGTATTGTTAATATAAATAAATTATAAATATTACTATTATATTTTTAACAATTAAATAAACATCATTACTATGATGTTTAAATAAAACATTACTTTTATACACCAAATCAATTCAATTTGTGCGAGAAGAACATGTGGTTGAAGTATTCTTCCCATCCGATTCGTTCTTGTTGGGGTTGGAATATCGAATAAATGAGTTGCACAAGTAAAGTGTATGAATTGTTTTGAGTAGCCAAGTATTTAGAGTTTGGTTTGAGTAAATCAAGAGCTTCTCTATAAGTCTTGTAAGTCTCATTGACATTTTCATCGGGACATGTAACTACATATAAACTATTTGACGTAATCATTTCAAAGAGCACAACACCCACACTAAACAAATCACATGAATCATTGTATATTTGATTCTGCTTTATTTCTGGTTGATTGATATAAGACGTACCCACTACCATTGTGTCAAAATGGTTATCTCCAACGTATCGAGCAAATCCAAAGTCGCACAGTTTTAAAGACAAGCCACATGCTTTATTTGGGTCTGTAAATACTAATATATTTCTCGATTTAATGTCTCGATGCACAAGCCTTTTCTCGTAAAGAAGATACTTCAGTGCGTTATTGATATCAATGGTAAATTGTTGAATAATTTCAAGTGAAAGTCCATTGGGATTTTTCTCTAAGACGTTAGTCAATGAGCCATACGCAGAGCATTCCATGACGATGTAATACGATCTATTATTAAGTAATGGGAGTGTTGAATTGAACGTGTGGAGCACAGAATTTGGTGCTTCAATAAATTGGTATATAGTGACTATGTTTGGGTGTTTACACAAATTGAGAGTGCGCGCCTCTTTCATAGCTACATGTTCCTTTGCAAACTCCTTGACGGCATAAAATTTGTCGTTGATAGAAACGTTGAACACGGCACCATACGTCCCTCCATCAATGATACTACAATTCTGACGTGAAAACACAGAGAAAATGTCATTCACTTGAGTCACCAAACAATGTTTAAAAGTTGTACAATTAACAAAGAACTCATCGACTTGCATTGTCGACACTATTTTTGAAAAAGTGGGCAGTCTCCTCTTACACAACTTTTCGATAAATTGGAGTGGAAGGCAATTGATATATTGCACCAAATGTGAAGGGATTTTTGCTATATCTGGTTGTGGTGCACTTGTTGTGTTAGAAGGAAATGACTGGAATATCAATTTGTGGATAAACATTGTAAGTGAATTGATTTCCACTTTCGTTGTGATATCGGAATACTCTATGCCGGTCGTTTGAAACTCAAGTGGTAGGTATGGAGAGAGCCCTTGTACATTTTTAACACTGTTTATTATATGTGGAAGGACAAACCCAAAGAATGAAACTTTCATGACCGGAATTGGTGATGAGGTATCACTTTGGATAGCGACAGAAAGTTCACTAAATAAGTAAGGGAATGGAACGTTGTATTCGTGTTGAAGATGATCTTTCAACGTTTCAACTAAATTCACCACTTCCACTAAATCGGAACAAAAATAACGAATAACATCGAGTGTAATGGGAACTGTAAAATAGTCACCAATTAATCTGTCGATGTAACAAATAATTTCTAATACACTTTCACCCTTATTGTGATTGATTCATTCAGTATCTTTTGTTATTATATTCTTATTATATTTGTTAAAATAATATAATATTATTGAAATGGTCAAACAAACATTCTCTTGTACTATATTGAATTCTTTGATTGTCTCAAAATATAACGAATTCACAGCAGAGACAGATTGAAGTATTCTAACCGACACATCAAAGTCGTGTTGTGTTGCAAATAAACTTCTTGGTATTTCTTATTATGAAATTGTTCATTATATGAAGGACAAACAAACTATATTTCGTACATCGATTATTCGTGGATAGCAAAAAGTCGCGCGAAACAAACGACTTGGACATTTTTTATTTTCAGTTCTCGTCTTCTGCTTTATAAAACTTCAAAGTAAAAATAAAAATTATATTCCAACTCTGTATTTACACTGATTTATAATTGCAGACAAACAACTTCAACAATGCACTTCAAGTAAACCAATACAATTGACATTCTTCCCCAAACAATTAATGTTGAGGAATTCAATATATTATGTTACATTAGGTGTATGGTGTGTTCTTACTATAATTTTATTAAAAATACCATAATTATTGAATTTGTATCATTAATAAAATTACTTCCTTTTTTAAAAAACAAATAACAGTAAAAACTATCTAGAATTAACTATACATGATTAATAATAATAAAGAAATTTTTTAATTGATTTTTAAATAAGATTAATATTATTGAAATTATTAAATTATTAATTAAATAACCTATATATAAACCAAAATTAGAACTTAGAACGAAAATTTGTTTTGAAGTCTTTCGGCGCTTGGTCTTTCTTTTGGTACTCCATTCCACATTTCCACCAAAACATTAAAATTTTCATCTGGGATCTTTTCTTGTGGGAGTTTATGGTTTTGTTCCATAAATTCAACAACTTCCCAGTTGGTGTTGAAATTCTTAGAAGGGACAATAAGAGCCCAATTTAATGACGTGTAAATGATCATAGCAAGGGAATAAATGTCTGATGGTAAGTCATACTTTTCGTGATGTAACAACTCTGGTGCCAAATATATCAATTCGACATTTTTATCATCAAGATGTGAAAGAATGTACTCAGTCGTCATTTTGGAGTTATAATCGCAAAGTCTGGCATTTGCCAGACCATCATCATCGATTTCAATTAAGACGTTTTCTGGTTTCAAATTGCCATGGAAAACTTTGTTTTTGTGGAGATATAGAATGCCCTCTAAACAACACTTTGAAACACTTCTACGAGATGTGTCGGACATCTCCGCCTTTGATGTGATAAACTGTTTTAAATTTCCATTGGTATAATATTGGTTGACTGTTTCGAACACTTGATTTGAAGTCACTGCACCAATGCAATTGACCAAATACTGGGAGGTAAACCAACAAGCAGTTGTAGCCTCACATCTGAATTGTTTTGCGCTCTCGTACCCGCTGATGTTTTTAAATTTTTTTATAACAACATTGACGCCTCGGTAAACTCCTTTGTACGTAGTTGCGTATTCGTGGTCGATTACTGTTTCTGTCGTTTCAATTTCATTACTGTCCAAGTTATCTGCGAAAAATTGCGTTGAAAACTCGATTGGGAGTTTGACAATATGTGGCGATTTTGTTGTTTGTGGTACTAAAACAACATCAATAGTTTCATTCACTTTGCATGTGCAAAGTGGTTGAATGAAAATTTTGAATTCACACTCACGATTTGGTCTGAGGAATGTACTCTCTGGTTCAGTTCGGAACATAAAATTTTTCTTTGAGTCTTCGTGTTGCAAAAAGTATAACACAAAAATCTGCTTTGTTGGGTTAGCAACAGTGATCAGCCGCGTTGTCTCCCACTTAACTGGAAGACCTTTGATATCATCAAAATCGATTTTATTGTGGTCAAACAAGAGCTCTTCTATTTTGGTGTATTTCTCTGAATTGCTACTCATTGGAGAGGTGTTGATATCCAATATCTTATTCTTACTTGTATTGATGACATTTCTACATTTGACAGCTTCTAGTAAAACAACACCTATGACAACAACAAATACAACCAACGAAATGGCTATCATCAGTGACGTATTTACAACTCTCTTGCACGTGCCATTTGAACTCAATTTGTATCCAGTAAAACATTTTTGACAACCTAACCCACTCTTTGTCATACACCCAGTCATCGCTTTCGAAAGAACACACGTCCCATTTACTAGATACGAAGTTGCGTCGCATTGTGTACAATATGTTGTGTTGTAACACGAATCACAATTGATAGAACATTTTGAACACAACCAATTATCCAAATAATAACCAGTTGCACAAACTAAACACCCAGACATCGAATAGTTTCCAGCACATCCTGTAATCGTGTTTGATAATACACACTCTTTTTGTTGGGTAAGGTAATATCCAGTTTTACACTCATCACAGAACGTGGAATTCGTTTCACAACTTTTGCAACCATACGAACATTCCTCACAATCACCATTCTTTAAGAAATAACCTCTGCGACAATCAACACAAATGTTGTTCGAGTCATACATCAAACACCCAGTTTTGACGCAGTTTTCCCCCATTTTAGTATATGTCTCCTCGCAACTTCCACATGACTCGGCGCTTAAACATGTCGAACAGCCAACTGGGCATTGACTACATAAAGACCGCTCGTTAACAAAATACTTTTCAGAACATAAAACACAACTTCCGTGTTGTACTTTTATGCACTCTTCTTGCCTGATTTCGCAATTTGTGTTTTGGTCAGTAGTAACGTAGCCGTCATCACACAAGACACATCTCCCTTGTGAATATTGTGAACAATGAGGTATGGAAAAACATGCATATTTATTAGACGTTGAATTGATAGGACATGTGTCACAGTAGTTATTTGATATTAAAGAACATGTAGGTGTGGCTTCGCATCTCTGGTTCTCCAAAAACAATTCGTTTGCAGGGCAATTCACATTGACGTTTTCATAAGAGGATGTATCAAGAGGTAACACATCACACCCCTTCGGACTGCTCAAAACGCACTCGCTTGCACTTGCAATGCATTGTGAGTCATTAAGTATTGTGTTGTTTGAACACAAAACACATTTTGAGTCGACTATTAACTCACAGTTTTCCGCATAAACACAGCCTCCATCTTGTAATACGAAGTCTTGTTTGCACGACGTACACGTTCCATTAAATCCACAAGCTGAACAATCATCAGGGCACAGTTCACATGCATCATAGCTTGCAAAGTATCCAACTGAGCATATATTACAATCTCCAGTGGACAAGTATGAAATACAGTTAGCAATATTGGTTGTGTTTGGACAGATCTCAGCAGTAGTTGTTCTTACACAGTATTCATCAGCGTAAGCACATCCAAATAGGAGTATCATCAAAAGTGACATCGCAGTAATTAGAATATCACAGTCTTCACTTTCTTTTGAAACAAATTTTCACTTTGTCTTTGTAAAAAGTCAATTCACATAACTTTCCAAAATTTAAAACAAGACGCTGCTGCATCACCAAAATGCGGTGATCGTCAATTCTTCGTCGTGAATGATTAACTTTGATCTCCTTCATCTTTTTTTTCTTTTCATTTCCATTATAGTTATTTTACTAAAATAACTCTAATAATAATAATTAATAATAATAATCTCTGTTTTATTATAATTATAATTAAAAAATTAATATTTATAATAATTCTATTTATATATACAAATTAAATTATAAATATAGTTTGAAAATTAGAATAGTCTCACTAATGAATTAAATGAAAATAGTGAAAATTGTTCCTGTTTTATCTTCAACCTCAAACAAACAATTGCCCACTTGGTACAACACTACACCATCTCCCAAAGGCGTTTTATTACTGAATTGCAGATTCAACTTTGGCCACTTTCTGTTATTTTCTTTGAAAAAGCATTTCACAACAAGAACACATTCTATTATCACTAGTTAGTTTTATTAATATTTATAGAATTTGTCAACAGAAGCAACAAACCTTTGAGTCCTGTGTTACGACCGCACCCGCAATTTTCAACTCAAAAAAGCACTTTGAATAAATTCCAAACACTGAGTCACTGGGGGAATTCGTGTGCAACACAAACCTTTTGACCAAATTATCGTTTTTACCAAAGACGAAATCAAACCCTCTGGAGAAGTAGTTGTAGTATGTACAAGTTTCGTCACTCTTACTTCCCTCTCTATCTTTCAAGTCTGCAACAACCTCTTGTGTATGACTCCCATGCTTAAATACAAAATCGTCGATACAAAACACCCCAGTATCAGACACTTTCACTACCTTCAGTTCTTGACATGTGTCATTCAGACTGTTTACAACCTTCGTTAGTCTTAAATTCTTTTTTTCATTCGCATCATTCCCAACACCTGAAAATTTGAATATGAAGGTCCCATTGCACAACTCACCGCTTTGGGGTTTTGTCGGTTCGTCGTATAACTCAGTGTTTTTGTTGTTATCAACTTCGCGACTTAAGAATGACTTAAATAAACGAGAGAGGTCGCTGTATGTGTTTTGATCACTTATTGTATTTGACGATGTAAATGCTTTAAATTCGTCCAATGTTTTCTGTGCACTTTTAGTTTCTATTCGCACATTTTCGATTTCGGTGCGAATGAGTATCTGCCTTTTTGCGTCGAAGACTAGTGTTAGTGAATGGCTTAATATCTTCACAACAACTTCTCCAGTCATTGGGTCGTCCTCGTTATACGAGATGTGTACATCGGCCAATGTCGTTGCTGATGGCTTTGCCAACATTTTTAGTATTCGATATAGTGGCATCCCCAATTGAAAAGGACCAATTTTGCATTCCTTCCTTATCACTATCAACGGAGAGCTTATCTCTTCTTCACGAGACATCTAATTATCGAGTTCTTTAAGTTCATTTTACTATTGTTATAATTCTTTTTTTAATTCTATATATATTAATATAATTAACTAATAATGTATAATATATATTTCTTTATTAGTAATATACTATTTATTACTATAATTTTATTATATAGAATTAGTTTTGTAAACATAATAACATTTTTAATAACAAAATAGTGTTCAGTATCAATTAGCACACAATGAAACAGATCCAGCTTTCCTCACGAGTTTATAATTGCCAGCAGTGTAAAATGTTGGCATCTCAAGTTCGGTTTCTTTGTTGAAAATGATGAACTTTTGCTTCTCCATTTCCCAAATCTCATAATTCTTAAAGATGGAATAGTCACCGACCATTTTACCAGGAACGACGATCACCATTTCATTTCCAATCCCAAACTCAATGTCAGACTCTTTTTCTAATCCTTGTGACGTCACAAAATCTCCTTTCAATTTTCTCTTCTCAATCTTAATCTCAGAACGGAACTTGTCATTTTCTCGAACTCGTGGAACTCCAAACTTAGACGACGTCTTCACAGCAAAGCGATACACCTTCTTCCCATCGTCGTTGATAAAGAAGATCTTCTTCACTTCATTCGACCCAACTTTTTTACGTTTGACTACTCGCTCTTTATCCAACTCAGACACAGGGAAGATAATCTCCGTGTCATTAAACAACTGAACTTTGATATACTCTTCACACTTCTTTTCGTTCGAGTCTTCAATTTTTTCTTCAAGCGGATGTTCACCACTGGGGCGCGTTTCGTTACTTTCAGTTGTATTCCCAACTTTTTCATTTTTGTCAACTTTCTCGGGTTTGTCGCATCCTTTTTTCTCAACAAAGAACCGTTTCGCAACTTCATCGTATCCCAAAATTCCTTTATGTACGTCATACTGTTTGAACTCAAGTGCCGAATCATCGATCATATATTTCATCGTTTCTGGTATGCTCTGAAGATTTTTCGCACTCAAAACTTTCGCACAACTTCCGTTGTCAATTTCTTCCAAAAATTCAATTTCTATTGGATGGTCGATTTCTAATTCTTTCACACTATTCGTTAATACAACATCACTGAAATGGCGGGTTCTATCAAAACAGAATTGAAACAAACTTTATCACAGCATTTAACGCGTTAAACACGGAACCTTCCACTAAAACATTCCAAGAGCCTTGCAACACCGCTTTATCAACTTTAAAAGATGAGAAAGTCCCAATCTGCAAAATAGGATTTTGGTTTGCAGACATCACCAATTCGTTAATCGAAATTTTGTGACCTTCCCCAACAACAAAAGAATCTATCTTATCAAAGCTAGCTTTTCCAATATCGATCAAACAATGGTCGTCTTGTTTGCATGCGGAGATAGTCAAATTCGCGTGTTCCAAAACTTTCAATTGTTCTATTTTGGTCCCGTTGACATGTAGAACAGTTGTTCCAGATGTGATGACGTTATACACTTTATTGTTTGATGGAAACAAAACATGTACATCAGACACATTAACAGTGCTAATAACTTCTTGTGTCAATTCGACGCGTCTTTTTTTGTTAATGTTTTTGCAGTGCGCAGAAAATATTTTGAAGGGTTCCTTGACGGTCACGGTGCTCAGTGGGCAATTCATTAGCTCAAGTTCGCATTCATTTGTTGTACACGGACATGCTGTAGAGTGTTTACCGGGAAGAACTCTCTTATATGTCACTTCGCTCCCACTTTGCTGGACCAGGCAGATGTCCTCTGCAAGCGCAAATGCTACAAACAGTAACATCATAATACATTAACAGTTCGCTCATTTTTTTTCAGTTCTTGGTTCGACTGTTCTATATATATATTTCTTTGGTTATAGTAATGTTCTAATTATACTATTTTATTATAATAATTATACTATAAAGATACTAAAACAAATTCGATAAGATAGATCTTAAAAGAGAGAGACTCTGTGTTTATCAAATAACACTCGATTAATGAACAATCAATTACTTTGAGACAGTGCTGGAGACAGTTCTTCAACATCGAAAGTTAATAACTCGCTGAAGTACTTGCAATTTCGAGGGTTACACGACACGTTCTGTGGAGAGCATATGGAGAGGAATGGACAGTTTCCACAAGGTACTAAAGACAGTGGATTAGTCTGCGCAACCATTTTGGACGGTTTAAATATCTTTGATGTGTATAAACTGCCGTTTGTCGACTTAACCACAGAACACTCGGCACTTCCATTAAACACTAATCTATTTAATAACGATAGAATTTCCTCTTTCTTTATATCCACAGTGGAAATACCAGACTCACGAACGTATTCGTACACATCGTTCACGGAAGCGCCACCTTTGTTTAACAAAAACATATAACAGTGGTCACTGATTGTGTCAACAAAATCACCATCAAGTCCCGTTTTAGTGTAAAAAATGTTTTTCTTCTCTTCGGTTTTCCGTGGACGACCAGCCTTTGGGATCCGAGCAATTTTGGTTGACTTCTTCATTGTCTTCATGAAAGGGTTTTTTGAATTTGAAGTTTTTTATGGCATTTGTCCTTCTTCAGTGTCCATTTTGGTTTTTCTTATAATTTAGTATTGTTTAACCCATTTTTATACAGTTATATCATAGAAATAATTAAACTTTGTTTTTAATACAGCATTTTAGTCAATAATAATTAAGAGACAATTTTCTGTCTTTCAATATAGTTTAATCAAACTATATAATAAACTATATAAAAGAATCCATTGCAAGACAGGTAAAACTCAATTAAATAGAGATGAAAGGCAAGACGAGAGTGCTCCATGACGCTCCACAACTCGATTCTTTAGTAGTCAATCAGAAGAAGGTTGCGGAAGTTCGCGCGTGGATGGCGACACATTTAAAAAGTGCATCCATCCTTATTTTGACAGGACCTCCCGGTTGTGGGAAGACAACACTTGTAAAGACAATAGCGAGTGTCGACTCCATTGTATTAAAAGAAGTAGAGGATCATACCACCTTTAGACTTGAAGATGATAAAAAGCCGTTGGACACGATCGAGAAGCTAAGGCGATGGATACTATGTTCTTCACAAATGTTTTCGTTATTTGGAGGAGATTGGCGAAGGTCGATTGTGTTGTATGAGGAAGGAGGAATTACTGATTGGTTTGTTGAAGTCTTTGTGGATTATGTTCGATCGGCGAAGATCCCACTCATTGTCACCGGCAACGAGTCGATGAAGAATAATATCAATAAGTTACTTGACACGGACCCATTGAATGAAGACTTTGTATCAGTCAAACAGTCCATTACGTATATCTCGTTAAATGCTATACCACCAACTTCGATAAAGAAGTGTTTGAAGGGAGTTGTACCGGAGATGGTAGACACCATTGTAGAGTCGTGTAATGGCGACTTACGTGTTGCGCTCAACACAAAACAGATTGTTGCGACCAACAAAACCTTTGCGAAGGTTGTCGCGAAGAATGAAGCGGTCAATTTTTTCCATTTGATTGGGAGGATCATTCACACGGAACCAATTAAAAACCAAACGACGAAGCGATTTGAGTTGAAACATAGTCCAAGTGATGTGGCAAGAGAATTGTGTGGGAGAGAACATATCATGCCTTTATTGGAACATAACGCGATATCTACAATCAACGAGTTGAGTCATGTTGCGTATGTCGAACACTATATGAGTCTCGCAGACGTGTTTCACAACTTTGCTTTTAATCGCCCATTTATGGACTACTCGATGTGCGCGATTGCCGTTGGAGCAATCATGGTTGTACCAAACAAAAAGAAAATAATGCTCGAAGTAAGCGCGTCTGAGGTCAATCGGTCGAACGTTGCAATGGCAAAAAAGGGAATTTTTTGTATTGAACAATGTCGACGCTGTTTACTTTACGAAGCTACAATGTACGCAAGGTGCAACAATCTACCGAATTACCCTTTCAATGTCGAGACAGACACCTTTTGCGCGGAAGTGTTGCCATTTATTAACGCTTTACAACAAAAGTCAAAGTTGGCATTTCCACATCTTGAAAGTCTTGTGAAGACAGTGAACACACACTCAACACTGTTTCTGTTTGTTTAGTAAATGTTTCTAATGATAATAGATTGACTTTTAGAGAAGATGAATGATTGAAGTTATAGTAAAACAAATACAAATTTATTAGCAATTATAATAGTTTTGATCTCATTCTTTTTTTATTTATATATTTATATATAAATATTTTTTTTAAAGAATTAGTAAAAAATATAATTATCTTTATTTTATTTAATAATGAAACTATAAAATTGTTTGAAATAATTTTCTTCAAAAGAAGAAAAAAGTAGGGTTGTTGTTTTTCTAAAGTAATTTAGAAAAAAAAGTACATTTTCCATTATTTCAGTCCCTTTTAGTATGAATTATAAAACAAATAATACACTAATGACAAGTATGCCTTTAATGTACAAATATGTAGAAACGAAGTATTACAATTACAAACCGACATTGAATAAATCTTCTCAAAAAACGATAAAAAACTATAAAAATATTATTAAATATTAACAAATTACCTATTGAAAACCGAATTTGGGAAATATGAAAAAGCATATGGAATGAAGAAAAAGAGTTACAACTACAAAACCACAATGGGTTGCTATATAAGTAAAAAGCCGAAGAGCACATATCCAGAGATTGTTGTCTTTGATCACAAAGCAAATTATTTCAAAGCATTTTGTTCGAACCACGTCCACACGACAAAATACACATTTTATAGTTTCCCTTTTAAATTCATGTTAGAACAACTGATGCGGTTTTCTAACATCTTTTTCATCGTCAACACCGTCTTCACGTGCATCCCACAAATTTCCGCAGTCACACCTATCACATACTCTGTACCACTGTGTATCATCATGTTCGCTGCACTCTTCAGAGAACTCCGAGAAGACATTCGGAGGTATGTTGAAGACATCAAGGCTGATCGTGCAAAGTATTTGATTTCAGAACGTGGGGTCGAGAAAGAAGTGAAAGCATCATACTTACTTCCTGGAGATGTTGTTTTACTTAAACAAGGCCAGCGATGTCCAGCCGATTTGGTTTGTTTTAACTATTTTATAATAATATAAGACTATATATATTATAATAATAATAATGGTTATAATTATTAATGAAAGAATAATATTAATTAATTATTTAACATATGTAAATAATACTAATGAATAGGTACCTTTACATTCAGATACAATCGACCCAATCTTAGTCCAAACGGCTGAGATAGACGGTGAAATAGCACCTAAAGAAATATTCATCCCAAGAAAACTCCTTGAAGTCCAAAAAGATGTTTTGTTACAAGAGCACATCACGATGACATGTGATGTGCCTAACCCAAATTTTGGTCTTTTCAGAGCTGTGCTTCAATATAAAGAAGAGAAGGTAGGGTTTGACCAAACTGCTTTGATGTGTCAAGGCTCTATTTTACGTTCAGGAGATATCATGTGTGCTGTTGTGTATACTGGTGACTTCACGAAACTTGCTTTAAACCACGAGAAAAGGAGAATGCGCTTATCTGGTACAGACCGACAGATGAACAGTTTTGTAGCTGTCGTCTTTTTGGTAGTTCTTGGGATATCTGTCTTTTGTAGTGTTATGGCAACAGTCATGTTTTATCGTCACCAAGAGGATTGGTACTTGGACTTAGGTGAGCGGTCTGCGAATTTGTCAGTTAAGGAGTTCTTTTCGTACTTCACATTATCTTCGTATTTGATTCCCATAGCGTGTGCGGTATGTCTTGAAATAGCAAAGACCATGCAAAGTCTGTTTATGAGGTGGGATAGTGACTTCAAAGTTAATACCCCCGAAGGTGAAAAAGGAATAGTTGTGAGATGCACTGCGATGAATGACGAGTTAGGGTTTGTTGAATATGTGTTAACAGATAAGACTGGAACACTCACAGAGAATGAAATGAAGTATGTTGGATGCGTACTGGACGGTGAAAGGTTTGGTGAATCCTTTGAAGGAATGCGACCCGAATTGGAAGACCGGAAAAATGAAATGTTACATTGTATGGCACTGTGTCACAACGCTACAGTGAACGATGGGAAATATAAAAGTCCATCACCTGATGAAGAAGCACTTTTAGATGCTGCCAAGAAGAATGGAGTTGAGTTTATACAACGAATGCAAGGCGGGTTGAGACTTAAAGACCCTGAAGAGAAGTTTGTGACTCTTTTAGCGACATTTCCATTCAGTTCTGAACGTGCGAGAAGCAGTGTGTTAGTCAAAATAGGGGAGAGAATAGTGTTGTATAGTAAGGGAGCTGATCATATCATGAATGGGTTATGTAAAATAGGACAATATTGCGATGTGAGTGTGCTTGCCACACAAGGCCTTCGAACCCTTGTGATGTGTAAACGCGAAGTGAGTGAGGAGGAATATGACACATGGGTGAAAGACTGGGAAAAGGCACAAAGTACGATTGAAGGGCGAGAAGAGGTGATGAAAGAAGTGATCAAAAAGATGGAAAGCGAGATGGAGGTGATTGGGTGTTCTGGTGTTGAAGACAAATTACAAGAAGGAGTTATAGAAACCCTCGACATGTTAGTCCGGGGAGGAATTAAAGTCTGGGTCATCACTGGTGATAAAGAAGAAGTTTGTTGATATGACCACATGTGTAACTTTACTGTTGTTCACAACTACAAACGCAATGAAATAACAAATAGACTGGAATTGCAGTGGGGAAAGCGTGTAAATTGTTGGAAGGATGTGAGTTGGTTCATGTGAATGGCAAGACTGCGACTGAGTGTGATGCGATGTTAGATGAAGCTTCAAAGAAGGTTGGTGTAGTGAAGACGGGGCTGGTTATCACAGCAAATGCGATTGATGTTTGTGTTGAGGAATGCAAAGAGAAGTTCAAAAAAGTCGCGATGGAAGCGGATGTTGTGATGTGTTGTCGGTCGATGCCCCTTCAAAAGGCGAAAATAGCGAAACATGTGAGACAAATAACAAAGAAGAAATGTCTTGCGATTGGGGATGGAGCGAATGATATTCCGATGATTAACAGTGCGTCTGTCGGAGTAGGGATATATGGTAAGGAAGGGAGCCAAGCGGCCCGATCTGCGGATTACTCGATCTATCGATTCAAGCACTTAGCGAAGTTAGTGATGTACCATGGAAGAATGTCGTTGTATCGGAACACGTCACTGATCAAGTTGATATTTTTTAAGAATGCAGCGTTCTTTTTGCACTTGTTATGGTATGCTATGATATGTCAATTTACATCACAAAGACTGTACGACGATTATATGATGGCGTTGTATAACTTCATCTTCACATCGATTCCGCCCGTATTCATTTCATTCTTTGATAGTGATTTGTCGTGGGATGAGATATCAAAACACCCGGAAGTCAATAAAGAATTGATTCGAGAAAAGAGAGGCAATTTGTTGTCGTATTTGGGGTGGTTCTGTTATGGGACATATCAAAGCATTATGTACTTTGTGTTAATGATTCTTTTTAATGCGAATGACGTGTTGGTTATGGACGGGAGAACCACGGGGATGGTTGGTGCAAGTGCTTTTGTGACGACATACACCACACTTGGAGTTGTTGCGACGTTTGCGACAACAGTGAAACGATGGAATGGGTTACTCATATTTGGGTTCATTGTGTCAGTCACTTCCTTCTTTTTCACATACGCATTCTTGGCATCATTCACTGGAGCGACTCGAGAAAATATGAGTTACTTCTCATTGTGGCAAGCGATGCGAATGCCATCATTTTATTTGAACTGTGTCATTGCCATCATCATGGCAATAACTCCAAATGTCATGAGGCTGTTGTTTGTTCTTTAATTATTAATTTTACTATAATAAAACGATTGAATAACATAGAGCATTCAGAGATATATCAAACCATCAAATTACGAACTGGTCCAAATCTACTCAAAGCTGAAGAAAGAAAAAGTGGAAAAAGTCCAAAACGAACAAGCGAGTGGGTATTCAATTATGAATAATAGCTCTGAAAACTGAATACTAAATAAACAATTATTTTGATATTATTATTTGTTATTAGTTTGGTAGGTCACAAGAAATAATACTTTAATGAGAAATAATACTATATTTGATTTTATTATCTGAGGCAAAATTACTCACCACCCTACCTTGAGACTACTAGTTAAATATAGTTAAAATATAAGATAGAAATGACCAGGTCAAAGTTTCTCTCCTCAATCTCAAAACTGAATTTTTAAACACAGAGCAGACCAAGATGTCAAAGGCCACTACTAAGAAGGAAGTTGCAAAGAAAGTTGAAAAGAAAGACGAGAAAAAGAAAGAAACCAAATTCTTCAACGCGGTTGTTGACTATATTAACGACCGTAACGCAGTCGTCTTGAAAACCACTGGACCAAAGAAGGAGAATAATTTGGCTGTCTTGGCCTACGTCGATGTCCCACGCTCAGTCAAAGACAAAGAGACTGGAAAGATCAACGAAGAATTTTTCTACTACGAAACCAATGAAATCTTGAGAAAGAAGTTGGTTGGCAAGGATATCAAGTTTGAGCTTGTTAAAGAGATGGAAAATGGAATGAAACAAGTTGTCCCATTTGTTGGAAAAGAGAACGTCATCGTCACGTTACTCGAGAAGGGATATGCTTCCCTCAGAATTAAACAACACCCAGAAAACAAAAATGAACACAAGGAGTACTTTGCTGCTGCTGAGAAGGCATCTGCTGCGAAGAAAGGAATGTTTGCTTCAGAGGAAGAGGTTAAGAAGGTTGCCATTAAGAAACCAGAGAGCTTGTATTTCACTGTTGAAGAACTCAGTAAGATGGTTGGAAAGACTATCGAAGGACACATCAAGAAGGTTGACTCACCAGCAACCATCCTCTTCGAGACGACTACAAGAAAGTTGATGAGAGTCTCTGTCTACGCCGTCAACCAGAAGTTGGAATTTGACCCAGCAACCAAAAACTTCAAAATGGACGACATTGCCAAAGAAGCTGTTGCTTACTTGAGCAACGAAATCACTTATCACGACGCAACAATCAAGGTCATGTCTGTTGAGAAAAGAACCGCTGGTATCGTCACTGTCGACGGCAAAGACATTGCTGAGGGTTTGTTGAAGGCAGGATTTGTATTTGGTAGCAAACTTGCTGAGGCTGATGTTGCTGTGAAAGAAAAGTATCTTGCGTGTGAAAAAGAGGCGAAAGAAGCGAAGAAAGGAAGATGGACCAACTTTGATCAAGCTGCTGAAGACGCCATTATTGCTAAGAAAGAGAAGAGACAACACGACTTGGCTGACAGAAAGAAGAACCCAAAGAAACTCGAAGGAGAAGTCGAGTCCTTTGCTAAGCTCATCACCTTCAGAAAGGGCGATCAAGTCTTTAAGGGACATTACGCATCAATCAGACCAGTCACTGTTAAGGACAACAAAGAGTTCAACCAACTCCTCGACTTCAGAATTAAAGAGTTCTTGAGAAAATTGATGAGCGGAAAGAAGGTTGAAGTGAAGGAGTGCTACACTCGTTCATTTGAAGACGCAGAGAAGAAGACAACAACTGTTGATCATTATTATGATGTCTTGGTCAATGGAAAGAACGTCGCCATCAAATTGCTCGAGAAAGGATTCTTCACATTGGAGAACTCAAGGGATGAGATGTATCAATCATTCGACTACAAGGAACTCTCTGAAGCCAAAGTCGGAAAGTATGAAGAAAAGAAGATCACTGAGTTCAATGCTAGCAAAGACGGTATCAAGGAGCAATATATGAACAGCGTCATGACTGCCGTTGTTGAAGCTGTTTTGTCACCAACTAAGCTCATCATCTATATCCCAGACAGAGACGTCAGAATGTCAGTCTTGCTTGCCAACTGCAGACTCCCAAGAGACGACGAGAATGAAGCCCTCAAGAAGTTCAACCAAGAGTCCATTTCAGAACTCAAGAAGTTTGTGTTAAACAATGAAGTTATGGTTGACTTCAGAGAGTTCAACAAGAGCAACTTCCTTGTTGAAATGAGCTACAAGAAGCAATCAGTCAATCAATTTGTCTTGGACAACGCATTCGCCCAGTACGCTGGAAGAAAGGAGAACCCATCACAGAAGAACGTTGCTGCTAAAGAGAACTCTACTGGTATCTACCAATTCAAGACTAAGGGAGATATTAAAACCGAAGAGAACGCCAAGAAGATGTCTGAACTGAAGGAATACAAGCGTTCTGAAGATTTCAAATTTGAGGGAGAGAAGAAGGCATACATTGTTGGATTTGACGGAGTTAAAGTGTACTACTACAACTCTGCTGAGGACGCCAAGTTCATTGAAGAGATTTCAACCAAGTTTGCGACAGCAAAGAAGGTACCATTTGAGGTGAAGGAAGGTATGGCATGTGGTGTTGAAAACAAAGGAAAGTGGTACAGAGGCGAAGTTGTGAAGGTTGCTCAATCTGCAAATGTAGTGAAGTGCATTGATACTGGTGTTGTTGTCAGTGTTGGTAAGAAGAAGATTAAACCAACCACCGACGAGATCAAGAAAGCTCCAGTCACTGTGAAATCTGTTGTTTTGGCTGCTATTGAATTGATGGTTCAGGGAAAGAACATTGAGTATGAATTGATGGTCGCTAAGGCCCAAGAGTTCTGCAATAAAGAAGTCTCGATCTACATCTCAGGAAAGGGTGCTGCTGAAGCTGCTAAGATCATCGATGGTAAGGTTTGCATGAACGTTGCTCTTGTTGAGAATGGTCTTGCACTTGTCTCAAGAAGCTTCAGAGATAAGTCTGAGTTTGGAAATGCTCTTTTCAAGGCACAAGACGCTGCTAAAGAGGCTCACTTGAACATTTGGAGATATGGTGAGTTGGTCGAAGAAGAGGAAGTCAAGGAGGAGGTAAAAGATTTCAAAGGAAAGAAGCCAGCTGCTAAGGCGCAAAAGGCTGAGGCAACAAAAACAGAGAAGAAGTGATAAACTTTCGAATTGAGCCCATTGGTTGAGTTCTGGTTTCTATTTTATATATATTTATACTATAAATTATAGTATTCCAGTTGATTGATTTTCAAATAAATAGTTATAATAAAATCTTTTTATTCGGTATTATTGTTTGAAGTTTCAAGTTCTATTAGAAGTCAAACTTTTTTTAATATCTGAATTGGTTATAATTAGTTTTAAATGGATAAACTATAAATATATATTTTTATTTATATTTGTATAATATTGTCTCTTTTTAACACAACTCAAGTGGCAAACTAATTGATAAAACCAACACAAATCCAACACAAATCTTTTTAACTATTACAAAAGAACATGACAGAAGCCCGTTTCGTTGCAACATTTGCAAAGTACAAAAAGGACCCACAGGGACTCGACTTCACGGGGTTTTCTTCAGCAATCAGAGAATTCACTGAGACAAAGGAGCCTTCCGACGAAACAGAACAAAATGGGTTGTTCATGTTGTTCTCCTTTTTCGACACAAACAAAAACAACTTCCTCAGCGAGAAAGAGTATATGAGTGCTCTTGGGTACTTACCAGCTCGATATAAAACACTTAAAGAGGCTGTTTACATGGCATTGTTTAAAGTGACTGACACGAATGGAAGCGGGAAAGTGAATGTCAGCGAATTCTTAAAATTTAAAAAGATGGAAGGCACAGAATCGTCGAAAAAGGTTGCACAAGACCTTATAGCATCGGTGGATATGAACGGAGATGGGAAACTAAATATCGATGAATGGTTGAACCTTTTCATATAATTCATTTCTCTTTCATTTACATCCCAAAGAAACGCCTTTCAATCGTACTAAATAACAAGCTAAAAAACGAGTTACAAAATGGAGGTTTCTCCAATCTTCATCACCGGACTGGGTGTGTTTTTCACACGTAGCCGCAACTTCCCTTTTGTGATGTCTGGAGACTGTGGCACATTTTGTGTGGAGTGACTTCTAAACGGCGAAGTACAAGTCTCATGGAAGATGGGAGAGTCTGTGTTTGTGATTAGAGAGTCGAATGTGCTAATTGACGTTGGCCGTGCTTTTTGATGAGTGCAAGGTTTGCAAAATTCTTGTGATAAAAGAGATTTGATGGAAACCAAATTGGTTTTTGAGTCACCCATAAACGTCTTGACGAATTCATCGATTTCTGTGTCAACATCACCGCGTTTTTCTGGATTGGACTTACAGCGTATCCACCTCTTTGCGAAATTAATCAGAGGTGTTATTTGCGAAAAGTGAAGTGCTGGCAAATTCTCTTTATCAAAAAGACTTTGTGACTTCAAAATGTTTGTGAAAAATTGGACACAACTGTCGTACTTCCCAATGCACTCAACTGTCTTGTTGTACGCGATCCCTAAATAATTGTAAATGTTGTTGATAACCACGCTGAAATTTAAGTTGAAGTAATAAAAAATTATCAACAGATCCTTAAGTAGTATTCCGCTCACTGCCAACGCTATTTCTGAGTTGTACAAATTCTTCGATGTCCAATCAATTGTTATAAATGTGTCGGACATATCAATAAAATTGTCTATAAGTCAGTGTATTGATTTTAAGAAACAGTGTCCTTGTTTTATAAAAAGAAAAACACACTGATGAGCAAGAGGGTTGAGTCAATAACGGTTTGACTGTTTTCTTCAGAGGGGGTTGGTAGTGTCGCCCAGTTGATTTTGAGTGTTTTAAAACTGTAAACCAAATCATCCAAGTGTTTTGCAAGGGGCTGAAGTATTTTAACAAAGTTGTCAGATTGTTTCAATTTATTGTGTATCGACAGAAAATGGTTTTCTGAACTTGTCACAGCCAACATAAATGTGTTTCTTGAGTCATTAAAGAAGGTGTGGTGAGCTAATATAAAGAAATTTGCGGATTCATTTATAGTGAGTTTTTTTTGGAACTGTTGCACAAGAAAGTGTGTGAACTGTTCTGTTTTGTCTGGTCTTTGATACTCATCTTCGAACACCTCCAAGTTACTTTCTCCCACGGGGTGAGACGAGTTTCTTACACATTGGTCGAGTAGTGTTGGTGTTTTTGAGAAGATTTTTTTCATCATTTTGATAAATGCTTTAAAAGTTTTTCGCTTATTAATCCCTTCATTCAGTTCAAATGAAATGATATACTATTTTAATAGCTTTTGTCTAGTTTTTTTTCATTTTGATTCGACAAAACGAAAGTGTATTATTGATAATAAATTAAAAATAAATGTTATAAAAATCATAGAATTTGTTTTATAAATCGACAAACCTACAACACTATAAAAATTTGTTTATTCCTTTTTCTCGTCAAAGTCGGACTTAATCTGTTTGTCCTCTTCCGATAAGTCGCTTTTCGAAGGAGCGTATTGCGGGTTTCTTGCTATAAAACTGTCGTAGAGTTGATTAATGATTTTGTTGAGGGAAAGGCGTTGGTTTGTGTTTACCTCCTTAATTGTGATAAGTTTGTCGTAAAGCGATTTCTCGAGGCGGATTCGAATCGTTGAGTCGTCATATTTGGTTTTCCATTGCCGCCGTTCAACTTCGTTTTTGTCGTCGTTTTTCGTTGGTTTTGTTGCTCGGTCTTTGTTTTCTTTGTTCTTTTGGTCTTCCATCAAATTTCTTACTTTTTTTTTAGTTCTTTCTGACCACTAAAAGTGTATAGTATTTTTAGTATAAATTATAGTATTTCATTTATTAAAGATTTTTAAGATATTCTTATATATATTGGGTTTAAAAAATAAATTGTGTATAGTAAATTATTAGTTATCTGTAATCAAAAAAAACCTTGAACAAGAAAAAAATTATAATAAAATAAATAGAATAGAATAAGTAAATAAATAATTTATCTTTTTTACATTTAAAAAAAATTTTTTTTACACATTATTTTATTGTTTTATTGTGTAATTTTACATGTCTTTGTAAGTGCGTAAAAAAACACTAAAAAATAAAAACATTAATTTTTGTTTCATTTATATAAACTTAAAAATAATTATTTAAGTGTAATACAAAAGCCATTAAATAATAGTAAAATAATTGTGATAATGATTGAATAATAAAATTAAATTATATGTTTGTTTTTGTTCTAACATATAAATAATTAAATTAATAACAAAATATAAGTATATTGTTCAAATCATAATTAAATACTATAAAAATTTCATTTTTTTGTTATATCGTTCATTTAAATTGCCAAAATTCGGGCATTGTTTGTAATTATTTGAAACAATATTTTTAATTTAATAAAAACTATTTTAATCGATTAAAATTGTACAAAAATGTTCATTTTGTTGAACTTTCAACTTTGACCAATTAACAACTTTTTTTTTAAATCCATTATTATTTTGTATTAGTCAATTTATAATAACATATTATTCAAATAATTATTGAAAATAATTTTATTTTTTTTAAATAAATTGATTTTTTTTCATTTGTATTTTAAATTTTGTAAACTAAATCTACATTTTTACACCGTTTTTATGGTAAATTAAACCATATTGTAACTATACTATTTTTTTTTATTTTACCACAAATTGAAAACCAAGAATACACAAATTACCTTTTTTAAAAAAGACCCGTTTTTTGCATGGATAATTACTGAAAATCACAATCACAAAATATCAATGTATCAATCCCAAACAAACAGGCTGAAATGGCCCCAAAATAGTGGATAGACCATTCAGCCTTTGCCCAAAGTCATCGATAACAATCGAATGATATCGTATTTTCTTTTAACCCAGAAATCGCGACAAGGCGAAACCCTTAACGATGATCACAGAATTCATTTAATTTCATATGTTTTTTGAGTGCTCTCTTCTCTTTGCAACAGTTATAAATGCTGTAGTCTGTTGGTATTCTTACTACAACAAATTACTTCTTCTCAAGACCTTTTCAAAGCCACCAGTCTGTTTAATACTCACTGTGTTCACTTATGAAGTGTTGGGGTTAGAGTACTCCCCTTTCTTATTAGGTTTAATATTAAGTGCGTTGGGCGATACACTTCTTCTTTCGAGAAATAAAGTCGTCTTTTTAACTGGATCTCTTTCTTTTCTCTTGGCTCATGTGTCTTACAGTTATGGATTTTCTCAACATCTTTCTGTTTGTTATATTAAATTAATTAAATTATATATATTATATATATATTATTTACATTTTAAATTATAATGAATACTTATTTGATTGATAACTTATAGCTTTCTAACGAAATATCTCCGTTGTGTTATTTGACTATTGTAGCACCTCTCTTAGTCACTTTGGCATTAACTTTTGCTCAAGACAAAAAGATGAGATTATCAAATGGATTCTTTACACTCATTTACATGTCTTTCATATCAACTGGATTATTTAATTGCTCTCGAACAATCGGAGATGCAAACTGGAGTTTACCAGCCGCTTTACTTTGCTTTATTGGTTATGCCATATTCTTTGTTTCGGATGTTCTTGTCTGTTTCGCTGTTATGATCTATGAAAACAAATTAATTTCAATGACCGTTATCACAACTTATCACATCGCTCAAATCGCAATTGTTCTTGGTCTTGTTTTGAACAAGCACTACGATTCACTCTTTCCTTTACTCCATTAATTTACTATTATAATAGTTGTTTTTATTACTTAACAATTTAATTAAAAGAATTAATTCTATTCTATAGTGTTGTGTCGATCAGAGGTTTTTAAAATAATTATTGCCGAAAATGTGGTATTATAACGTAAGAATTTATAGAGAAAATAAACATTTTGGTTATAAAATGGTGACGTGGGTAATTAGGATTGTGAATTTTACAATAAGTTATCGACACTGTCAATAACTTATTGTAAAATTTAATAACAATTTTATTATAATTGAACTATATTTTACATCTGGTTGATATGATAATAGTTTGAACTATATTTAAACTGTTATAACAATAAATTACTCACTTGATTGACACCACTATTTTGTGGGAGCTCTTTGTTGAATGTTTCTGATGGTCATTGCACCCTTTCTAAGTGGCTTTGCGTTTTTGGTTGAGTTTGTAGAGAAGAATTCCTTTTCTTTTTGTTTTACAAACTTCTTCTCTTTTATATTCAACAATTGTGTTGTTTGCTTCTTGACCAGTGCTTGATCACATCGGATGGCTAATTCATTTGTTGTTGTTTTATATCTTCCGCCGATATAAGGCTCTCTCTTTGAGTATACCACACACTCTCTACAGTCAACCGGCTTAATGTTTTGTTTATAATACAATGCAAGTGATCGATGTCCTATTATCTTCCCATCAGACAGTTCCAAGTGTGTTTCATCCATATCCACAATATCCACCGTCTTCTCCACGGGTGGAAAGTAATAATATTTCTCATAGAATTCGTCTTCGTCGTGGTATTTACAGTGTGACTTATCCTTCATGTGTTTTTGAATATCTTTGTAACTCGACAACTCGGTGTCTTTATAACACCACAAACACATTCTGTCTTGACACACAAGACTTTGCAATTTCATCAATAGACCAGTCATGTCAGTTATATATTCAGGATTGGTCAAAAAGAATGAATGTTGCTCGTACATATGACTCAAAACTTGTTCAACTGACTCACACTTCTCTTGACAGAATATACAATCCTCGGGGCAGAGTACTGTTTTGATTTCTACTACGGTCTTCTTCACTTTTAAACCTTTCTTAACTACTTTCGTTGGTTCAAAGCTGTTCTCTACAAATTTCTTAAGGGTGGATGGCTTCACTTGGCGTTTCTTCATAATAATTAAATATTTGGAAATATTTGAATAATTTAAAGTTATTAATTATCTTCTTTGAGTTTTACTTTATGTTTTAATTATATTGTATCATATTCATTAACATAATGAAGCAATATGTATGGTACATATTTTGTTTGTTTTTCTTAAAAACTCAAACATTTTTTCAAGTCAATAATGATAACTAATTGTATAGTATATTAAATTATTAAATAGTAATTGTTAAACAAAACTCATTCTTTGACTCAAGATATCTAAGTAATTGTACCATATATTTTGATATAAAAAATCGGGCAAATAGCAATTATATAAAGTATTTTAATTAATAATTTTATTAATCATATCTATTAATTAATCACAAAAGAGTAATTAATTACTAGTAAAATCAAATTATGAAATATAATACAACAAATGAAAACACTTTCTTAACATCATTGAGATTGAAATACTTTTTACACCAATTGAGACTCAAAGGAACACAAACGTTCCACAGTCAAATTTTATGAATGCTGAACACACTAAAAAAACTTGTGTTTTGAAGTTGTGAGGCACTTCACTAGCTTGCACTGTCATTGCAAGAGCCGAGCCAGTTGGTGACTTAGTTGGTAAGTGTTTTGAAAACATAAGATGTGGATTCATACAATTCCAAGGGAGTTGTGTTGATAATAAAAAGTCGAATGATTCCTGATGTGGTGGTAATGCGATTGTTGTGTTGTGGTTTTCAAAGCCGTAGAGACTACATTCGAGTGTCGCTGAATGTAAGTATATGATAATAGTAAAATATAGTTTAAATACTATTGATTGTTATTGATGTGGAAACAAACGTTGTTTCTTGATGAGGATCACACACGACAGTGTGGCAGTGACGCAGATGAGTGTAAGAATATAAAACAGTCGCATGAAGGAGATGTCGAAGAAGTATTTAACAGAACATCCCCAAAACAGGAGCAGAATGCCCAAATAGATCCCACAGAATCTGATAAGGGTTTCTCCAAATATGAAGCTCAGTGCTATCGAGAGCAAATTAATGTTCACAAGAATGAAGTAACACAGACACACAGACTTCTGATAATTTGTCATTTCATTCTGTTCAAGCCATCCTTCAAACCTTCTTTTGACTTCAAGAAGCGATCGTTTTGAAAACGACTTCTTCAGCGTCTTTTGAAGCACTTCCGGTGATTGGAAGAGCTTCGAGAATTTCTTCGTGTCGACCACCTTCAAGTGACTTGGCATTTTTGCGATTGAAATAATGCAGCAAATAGCTGTTAAAGTGAGTCCTAATAATATGAACGGGAGGTCCGGTAAGAAGATACAACAGAAGAGTGCAGCCAGCAGACATATGACCGTAATAGGCACTACCACTTTCAAAGGCCCAAGTGTCAATGAAAATTCGAATTGATTGAGTTGTTGCTGCTGAACGATTTTCAACGCATTTTGCACCGCCTCTTGTGCTTCTTTGATTTTCTGTTTGTTTTCCGCTTTTGTTTCATTGAGCATTTCGTTAAGAGTCTTTAACGACTCTACAATGATTGGAATGAGTGCCAAGGAGTCGATAGATAACGACCCGTCAACTTCCGTATGGACGATTTCTGGAAACACTTTTTGGAGTTGTTGCGCAATGAACCCCGACCTTGCAGCTTCGCTGTTTTTGTATTTGAAAGTGAACGCAAATACTTCCAGTATTTTGTTTAAAGAATCTTCAATTTTCCGTATGGAATGTTTCTTCCTCACGTCCGACCGAACAAAGAATCCTCTTTCACTGAAGATCTCTCCAAAGATGTTCAGTTGGACGAGTTGTGGAGTGATTTGTTCCGCACTTGCAAAATTTTCCTCTCCAAAGATGAGAAGAAGTGGTTCTGTTGGTGAATTGTTAATTATCCCCAATAAATTATATATCGTGTGTTTTAACTGCCCCAATGAGTGATATCAATACAACTACAAACGATATAACGAAGTGACGTCTTGTGGGTATCCTCCATTTTGATTCCCTTGATACATTAAGTTATTTTGGGAGCCTTCTTCCATTTGAATTTGACCTTGTGTTGTTAGCGTGAGTGTGTTTTCCATCGGGAACATGTGTTCTTTCTTTTTCAGTTTATTTTAATTATTATTAGTAATAAAACCACTACTTTATTTCATTCAAAATTTGAATCAAAATTTGAATTTCAAATACACATCCAATTGTTAAACTATTTAAATTTAGTATTGAAATTAATAATTGACTAGAAACTCCAAACAGAAATTTGTATATTACAACTATTAACTATAATTAAACTATAGCAATAGTAAAACAAATAGTATGTGTATAGTATAGTAATAATACACAGCATAACCCTTTTCTTTTATTCTTATTGAAAAAGTATTGAAACATTAGAAAATATCGACTGAAACCAAAATAAAGCAAATCCATTCATAAATTCACTGGAAGGACTTGAAAGGTCTCTCCTTAGGAGCAACGGCAACCTTTGGAGCCACAGCAATGACTGGGGCGGTAGTGGCGGCAGCTGGGGCATCAGTTGGCTTATTGTTCGTTTGAGTCTTTGAAGACTTTTTAATGATTCTCTTTGGTGGAGTTCTAATCTTTCTGTCCTCATGTGATCTGACTCTGACTATTCTCCCATGGATAGCACAAGCAACACAGTATTGGTTCTTCAAATAAGTCTTTGGCAACTTGTATTTGACGATGGCAGAGTTATCGGAGATATCTCTGACTGCGGCAGCCTCGACGATGTTTTTAATAGTGTATCTCTTGATGGCTTTGTCTTTTGCAACACAGCGGCCACAATTTGTGCAACGGACGCTTTGGACGTGTCCTCTTCCCTTCTTTGCTCTTCCGTTGTTTCTTCTCTTGGAGGTCATCTACTTGTTAGTTCTTTGGATTCTTTTGGAATTAAAGTGTTATGAATGCATAAAAAACAACATACCCTTGTGTGCCTTTTTCAGTTCTCAAGGTTTTTTATTTTTTTGGGTCTGATTATATATCGTTTCTTTATAGTTCATTTGAATCATTCATTTGTATGAAAGATTGGATTTTTATTCAATGATGTTTCTTACCATTTCTCTTTATTAAGAGATAATAATAATTAAACTAAACTTAATCTATTGTTATTTATAATATCAATATAATTAAAAAACTATAAATGGTATATGAAAAAAATAAAAACAAAAATTAAAAAAAATGAAAATTAAAAAAAAATTCAACAACAAATTTTAATTCGATTTAAAAAAACTGTTTTTTAAAAATTGAACAAATTAAATATAAAGTAAACAAACTTTATATAAAAGAACTAATCCTATTAAAAAATTCAGAATTGATGTCACTAGAGTCAATGACCACTCCACTTCACCTTTTAGTATTTAAAGGAGAAATACCACCAGACGAAATGGACTATTCTAATATTAACACATTTGATATTTTTGGTATTCCAGTGTTACACTATGCAATACACACTCAAAACATTTCAATAGTCAAGACTTTACTATTACACGGCGCTGATCCACTTCTAAGAAACAAGAATGGGTTTAATGCATATCAAGAGTCTGTTTGTACTCGAAATATCGAATTAATCACACTTTTATATGAAGAGACATACAATTTCTATGACGCTATATACTCAAAACGTGTCATAGATGGCATCGATACTTTGGAAAAGATGGACGACTTCCAAATGACTATTCACTGGGAATTGCAGACGTGGATCCCTCTCGGGACTTATCTTCTTCCTTCTGACGACAATTTAGCACGAAAACGAAGTCACAATCTCCGCTTTGATATGGGGATAATAGGGTTTGAGAATTATAATATCAAACGTGGGAGAGGTTCTTTATTTTTCTTTGGTGAAGACAAAGGACGATGGAAAAAGGGAGAAGTTTTCTTTGTGAATCATGACGAACACACAGTCGAGAAAATGTGCGGGAGAGGCATCCGACGCAAACTTAAAGTGAAAGAAGTATTACTAACAGATGTGACAACGATGAGAACAAACTTCGTTTTGAACTGTGAAAGAGCAAAGAATATGTGGGGAAATGACAGAAATGAAAGTGTCAATGGAATAGAGTGCAGAGTGTTTGATGTGACTCCTTTGTCTGTAAATCTCGTTACAAGAGAAATCCCCACAAATAGACCAATTTTGCCTAAGATATTTTCAGACTCCATTTATTCTCAAAAAGAAAAATGGGATACAAAGAATATCCTTCTTGGCAATGGAGAAAAGGAGGTTTATCGAAAGAAAACTAATGGAGCTGAGTTGTGGGTTGGTAAAGGTGCTATCCAACTTTCTCAATTCAGAATTTTAACTGGGTTTTTAGAACGAAATTTTGACGACTATAAGAAGTTCGAAGATTTCTTTGATAAAAATGGGCTGACTGACGATGACGGATTTCCAGTACAACTCAGTTTGTTCTTCTTTGTACTCAAGAATATACTTTTATACAATGAATTGTTTAGTATTATGGAAACTATAATTTATAGCTATTTTATTATAATTATACCAATTATTTTTTTAGAAAGCACTTAATAATAGAAATACCTTTGGCTCTTTCTTTGAGTCTTGTGTTGAACATCAAAAACTACTCCAAGGTTCAACCAGAGGAAAGTGTCTTTGACATTCCCGATGATTACACTTTCGTTAACAATTCGACGGAGTGATGATTTAAAATGGTTAATTAGTAAGTTATTATTTTCTATTTATATAAATCTTTCCATCGAAATTTTTAACCAAAGAAGTAAAAATAATAAACAATTTAAGTAATTATATTATAATATAAGAAACTATAATTGAAAACCAAGCAATAATCAGCAATGTCTTTTACTCGTTACATTATGTTGTCTGGAATGTTTGAATTTAAACTCATTTTAACTATAGTAATAACAAATTGATGGAAGGGTCCCAGCTGGTTTTGGCATTAGTTGGCGGAATAGTGAGTGTCGTCTTAGTATTTCCAGTTTTTCAGATGTTATATAGGCTGTTCATTCGTCCATTTCTCAATCCCAACCCAATCAAAAAATACAAAAACGAAGGTGCTTACGCGTTTATCACTGGCGCTACTTCGGGTGTTGGAAAGGCTTTTGCTGAACGTTTTGCCAATGAAGGGTTTAATCTCATCATCTCAGCAAGACGGGAACAAAATCTCACCGAACTCAAAAACGAACTTGAGAGCAAATACAAAACGAATGTAGTAGTCCAAGTCTCCGACTTCTCAATCGACTCAAAAGAACAATGGGAAACTATTCACAAACTATTTGAAACTTACAAAATCAGAGTGTTGATAAATAACGTAGGAAAGTCGTCACGTGGCACTTTTGCGGGTGAGACGTGTGATGAAACTCAATCACTCATCAATCTCAATCTTTGGACGCCTGTCAAACTATCTCATTTTTTTATCTCAACAATACCTCAACAGTTTGTATCAAATGTAATTATAAAACGTTAATAATCATACTATTACTGATATATCAACTTGATGAGATTGACAATATAGTGAACAGGGGTTGATTATATATATGGGAGGTGCATTAGGAGAATTTGTCACTCCGTTTTGCACTACATACTCGTCTTCAAAAGCATTTGTTAATTTGTTTGGACAGTGTTTGTCTTATGAAAATGAAAATGTGGCATGCACTGTATTTTCCCCATGGTTCATTTCAACCGAAATGACTCATCACAAACAACCCAATCTTTCGGTTCTCACGCCAGAGCATTTTGTTGCGTTGGCAATGAAGCACGTGGGTCTCACAAATTTCTGTTGCCCACATTGGTTCCACTATTTGCAAGGAATAGGTTACTACTGTTTCCCTGATAAAGTTAAGGCGGCCATAAACAAAAAGATGATTCCAAAGAAAGACCAGTAATTAAAAGAGATCTATTTTATTATTATATTATTTTATATCTATTTTATTATATTTATTTTATTATAATATATTATATTATATTTATTATAATTATTATATTATATCGATTATAACAAGTCGTTAAAGAACTTGAAATTATTGATCAATTACTAGATGGCTAGTGTGCAAACCACAAGAATACAAAATCCACGCTTTTTCGACGACAAAGAAAGTTACTCGAATCGACTTAAAATTTTGGTCCAATTTGTCCAACCGGAACAACCACTTACCGAACAAGAGAAATTGTTTTTGTTAAGGGGAGACACTATTTATCACTCATTCATCTTACAAATTGCCGATAAAATTTCCAAGTCAAAAAAGCCATTAGAGCCGGAGTCTTCGACATTTCTTCGGAGTCTTTCTGTCTCCCTCGAAGTGTTTGGGAAAATAGCGTTTAGACAAGTGTATTCATCCAAACTCAGTGAAGTTCTTCAACAGATGTTATCTTCAGCTTCACCGACAAAGACTCGAAAACAAGTCTTTTTCTTACTATTAGACTCCATTTGTATTAATGCATTCAAATGTTCCGAGTGGGAGACATCAATATTTGAATTTTTGAATTTGGAAGTATTCACACAAAAGGCGGAAATGAATGTGGTTGATGAGAATGGAGAGAACAAATACATCAATAGTGTGGAGAACCTCCACGCATTGATGATACGGGTCGTTGAGGATTATAACTCTTTTATAGCTTTATTTACTATATTCCAGAGTACATTAGAAAGACTCTATGTCGCACGAAAAGGTGACTCTCCTGTGAACGATGATGTCCACGCGATAGTCACAGAGACTCTGAGCAGCTTGAAGTTCAATTATGTAGTCTTTATGTGCAAGAACTCGAAGTCTCTTGTGATTATAGAGAAGGTCTTTTTGATAATATGTCAAAAAATGTTACAGCCACAAGACCAGTTTCGATTCTTTTCGAATAAGACTGCGTTTAAGAAGATTTTTGAATGTTTTATTACGAATGAATTTACAACAGACTTAGAAATGGGCTTGAAGAATACTACAAGTGACGGTGTGACTCAAATCATGTTCAGAGAATTCCAAAAGACTATATTGCGAGGGATAGAAATTGTACTGTTTTCTTTGACAACACCAGACTCGGATACGATGATATCATTTGGGACTGAAATTAAACAGATGTACTCTGATATATTAGAAAAGCAAAAGTTTATAAGTAATGACTTAAAAAGAGTCATTGGTCTTGTATCACTGAGTGTAGTATGGAGAATAGGATTCTGTAAGAGTGTGACTGCTTCAATCGAAACAACAAGCATTCAAACGGTCAAAAACGACATCCAGAAGACTAAAGCAGCAGACTTTGTGATCAGCGCTCTTCCACTTTGGGTGGAATTTATGACTGACCAGAAGGACTGGGATTTGTTCTTTCAAAAGATTGTTATAGTCTATGACTCTACTTTCTTTGTCAAGGATATTCGCGATCTCTTTGTATCGCTCACACTTTTAATTATCAAAATATATAATCACATAGAAATGCCAAATGAAGACGAGCAAAAGATGCACGGCTATGGATTTTGTGTTAAAAGTGAGGAGTTTTCGCCATCTCGAAAATTAGACCAATTTAATGTGAATAATATGGAACACGAAAAATTGCTGTTTTTCTGGAAACAAATGTTCCTTTTAGTCAGTAATGCGAGTTGTGTAAGTCAAGGGAATGTCTTGTTCGAATGGATTGTCACTATGAGACTTGCACTGCGGTGCCTCATTATTGGAGAAGTCGAAAGCCACTATCAAAGGGATGAGATCATATCAATTGCAACACACTTCTTCCCATTCTTTGTCGGTGTTTTACAAAACCAAAAAGACGAGTCAGTTGTATTAGAAAGTATTAAAGGTCTTATTGACATTATTACACAACCTCGAGTCGTTTACAACAAAATAGTGTATTCAACGGTCTCGGCAATCATTGGAAATGCATTTGAATGTTCTGAGACACTTTCCATTCAAATTGCATCGTTGTTGTCTCGAGTGTTTATTCGTGGTGTTCAAATGGACTTTTTAGTTCTTCCGATCTTACAACTGTTATGTTACAAATTTCCAAAAGATATGTCTGAAGAAGAGGAGCTTGGCATCATTCAACTTGTAACTATATTGTCATCAATAAATATACCACAGAACGTGTTGCCAACTGAAAAGAAAGTAGTTATAATTGGCCATGTGATGACTAACATATTCAGTTGCTGTAAATCACCAAAAGTGCAAGGAGTAGTGTTATGGGGAATAGGGCGCATGATAGTCCAAACTGAGAAACACAGCGAAGTGTCAAATATAGTGCTATTAAATGTTATAACTCAAACCATACAGAAAACAAGTCATCTTGTTGAACAAGGTCTTGAAGTATTAGTGTATATCGTTCGCTCACTTTGTCAAGAAAAGGGTTGTGTTGTTGAATTGATACTGAATTTTATTATGAAGATGGTTGTGAGGCTTCAAATTGAAAAGGAAAGTGTTTTCTTTGATACGTGTGTAATGGCATTGGTTGAAATTTTTCAGACGAGTGGATTTGTGTTTACTAATCAAAATAACGAGAACGCAGAGTTGTTGAAACAAGTTGTGGAAATCGACGCAGGACAGAATGTCTATTTACAAGCACTGTGCTGTGTAGTATTTTCTAATCTCAAAAATTGCACACTGAAACCTATGAGTAATGAGAACGAAAAGAGTAGTTGGTACGTTGTGAGTTCCTCACTTGTATCCATCACACCAAATAACAACGGAGAATCAAACGTTGTCGTAAGAAGTCCAAATGGAATAATAACAACACAAGTCACTACTATAGAAAGTCGAGAAACAAACACCATTCCAATAGCGCCAATTATGAAAGGAACAAAAACACCGATTTCTGTAATAAAACAGCGTGTTAGGCAAAACGTCCTCTATAACAAACTTCAGAACGAAAAGTGCAAACAGAAGTTGTTTGATATTCGCGAGAGTGTAAATAAAGAGAGTTATATGCGATATAAGTCTCAACAACAAACCACACTTGAAGAGTATCAAAAGACTGAAACCCTCATCAATTCAGTAGAAGAATCTTTATTTGAAGAAATTGTACCACAGCCAAATCCGGCATGTGTGATAAGTCAAGACAAGGGTTTTGTACTCGGAATGTTCATGCAACGGAATGGTATGACCAGGAAAGTAAAATATGACGTTATAAAAGACAAAGTAAAAGCTCTTGATGCTCTTGGAACACTTCAAATACTTGAAATTGGTTTAAAAGGTCAGGAAGAAGATGGGAGTTTCATTGAGTTTAAACGACTTTTTGAAAGTAACGAATATAATGATATGTACTGCGTCCATAGTAGTTTTAAAATTACGAACAAAAGTAAGTTTGTGGTTATATGGAATGACGACATAGAAAGATGGAGTGATGAACTTAAATACATGGAGACTATTATCTGTTGCACACCAATCGATAATACAGTCAGAATTCGGATGATATCTAAAAAGTCATATTCTATAGGACCAATATTAGATAATACCATTGTGAGTGGTGAAGACTTTATACAACTTCTTAAAGAAGCCGCAACATTCTGTTTGACTTCGTTTAAAGAAAATATGTTTGTTGAGTTAATAAATAAATGTGTTGTGATGCAAAAGAATAAAGGCTCAATTATAGTGTATATAAAAGACTGGAGATCATCAAACAAGTTCAACAAGTCTGTCAACCACCAAAAGATGTCAACCAATTTTTCTTGGATGGCTCTGCGCTGTTTCAATGAAATGATGTAAATTGTATTTGATTATTATTTGAATAATTTTTGGAATATTGAATGATGTTTATATAAATGCATGTGAATGGTATAGAAATAACATATTATACGAAACTAAGAACTTTTAATTTAAGACCAAAAATGAGTGATGAAGATGTCGATCGGCTCTCAGATAAATATAAAGTCGCGAAGGAAACGGTGAAATCAATTATTACGCGCAATGGTAACGATGTTGATAAGGCTGAATTGGAGATCACAAAGAATATCAATGGAGGCAGTAACAGTGGGTCTTTAAATAACTCAACTCATTACGTCCAACAACCCCTTCCACAAATTCCAACTCTCACTCACCCAAAAATAGTCCCAGCTCCGCTAGTTAAACCTCAACAATTACAAACTGTTAACCCATTTCAACAACATATCCCCCAACAACCAACAGGCTTTACAGCAAATAGTAATTCATATCCAAAAACTTCATCTACTGGCAATGGCATTACTTTACCATCAAACGTACAACATGTCACAACTAGTAAACAAGTTTATGGCCAACATGTTCCTGTGACTCAATCAGTTCTGGGTGTTCAACCTATCGTCCTTTCAACTCCCACTTCAACTATTGGGGCCGGTCAAGACTCTAAAGTGGCTGCCGAAATTGAAAAATTAAAAAGTGAAAATGCTGCATTAAGAACAGCAATCGACAATCAAGATAAACAAATTGAACAATTGACAAACACCGTGAAAAGACTGAATGACAATTTCAACCAACTACTGAAGCTCCAATTAAATTAATTCACTCGGTTTTTAATTTGATTCTTCACTTTTACTTGTTTTCTCTTCGTCGTCTTTGTCACTGTTCTCAGAGGGCGTTGATGCTTCTTCACTATCAAAGTCGCTTTCGTCGTCAAGGAAATGGCTGGGATCGAACAAGTTAAAGTAGAATGAAATTGCCTTAAAGTTGATGCTATTGAAAGCATCCATTAATATCAAAACCCCGTCTGGTCTCTTACCTAAAAAGAGTTCTTTGAGTTGACTGTCATTGAGTGCATCAGTGGGTTGTATAGGGGTGATTAACTCAATAGAACTCGTGTTTGGTATTGAATGCATCGTCTCGTTGTATTTCTGAGTCAATGTAAAAGCAATTTGAGTACTTTTAAGGTATTTATTAGGGTTGAAAATGAAAGTGTATTCAGTCGTCACTTTGAGGGCAAGTGGATGTTCAATAACAGGTTGCGCTGTTTTCATTTCAATGTCGATAAGTGACATCGACAACTCAGTGTCTTGTTCGGTGTAGCCAACGTTTTTGGTAAACCCTGAGTAATAAAAGACTCGCGTCCAAAAGTCTTTCACGCCACTTTTGTCGATATCGATATTGTCGTAAGACTTCCCTTCGATAATTGCGCGACGAAGAGATAAATAACTTTTGATGTCTTGTTCGGAGGCAATGCGCAAGTTTATACACTCTTTATTATATTCCATTTGAAGCTCTTTTATTTGAGCATTGACTTCTTTAAGTAAGTCAATGTTACGTTCGACACCTTTTACTGTTGTATTGATATAGTCTTGAATTGATTTCGTTTTAATGATGGTATTAATATCACTAAATATGTGGCTTTGTCCAATTTTTATCATTTATCTTTTATAGTTAATTTGTCTATTATATTAATAGTTTGGATAATATATATTATTTAAACCATTTAAATATTATATATTTAATATTTAATACCATTTAATAATATAATTTATTAATTACTTAGTATAACAATAATTATTCATTTATAATAAACTAGACTTTTTATTTCATTTAGTGAAGTTGTATGGACGAGGAAACTAAACAGTGTATATATAAGATGTACTGCGATGAATACAAAGACTCAATTGTAAGTAGAGAGAAATCAAAAATCGAAGAGGAAATGAAAACTCAAGAATTACTCGATAAAGAACACGCCGATCGTGAAGCAGTGCTTCAAGATAAAGTCTACACGTGCGACATCTGTTACGAAGATGTTCCTGCATCGTCGGTATACATTTTTGATTGCGATCATCACTTCTGTTTAGGCTGCGCATACGACCATATCCACACACAAATATTTAATGGTGTGACAGATATTCGATGTCCGTTCTCGGGATGCGGCCATGTGATTTCATTTGAAGAGATATACCAAATCATACGCAACCATGAACCTTACGATAAGGACCTTGCCGATCGATACGAGCGTTTCTTAGTTAACGATTACATGAAACACGAGCCAAATTGCAGATATTGTCCCAAATGTGGTAACGCCATTTTAGGTGATCCAAACACTCCCGAGATATTTTGTCGAAGCGAAGAGTGCAAGAAAGTGAATTTCAGGTTCTGTTTCAATTGTAAAGAAGCATGGCACGAAGGCCTAACATGCGCGCAGTATCAAGAATGGAAACGAATGAACTGCGAAGCAGACAAAAGGTTCTTGTCGTGGGCTCAGAAGAACACGCGAAAGTGTCCCAAGTGTTCCGCAACCATCGAGAAAAATCGAGGGTGTAACCACATGACTTGCGCCAATTGTGGGTATCAGTTCTGTTGGCTGTGCATGGCCCCGTACACGTCGAACCATTTCCGAAATGGGAAGTGTAAGCAATATTCATAATTCCAGTGTGTTTTACAGACTCTTTCAATAATTTCTGGGTTGTTGCGTTATGTTGATGAGTTGCTAAATAGAACAAAACAATAACTTAAAACACGTTTGAGACGTGAAGCCACAAGAGAAGAAAAATTGCGGTGTCTTTGACAAAGAAGAGAACAAGGAACACAAAACCAACGCGTTTGAGTACTGCGTTCTGGGCAAACAAGTGTGACTTCGATACAATGAAGGAAAAGACCCACAAAAAAGAAAGAATACACCCACTTCCTATAAAGACCCAAAACAGTGTTTGAAGTATTTTCTTTGTTTTGAGTTGGTCTGGGTTTATAAGTGGGGCTTCATCCATCGTGTTGAGTGTATTTATTCTCCTTTTTGAGTTTTGGAACAGTCAAATGATAAATAAATAGTTTGTTATTAATAAATTATAGAATTTGTTTTTGAACAGTCGGGGTCTTTGTGTTTGTTGTGTTATCGCCATTCTTTACTTCTAAACTGTCTTTTTGAAGCACTTCTTGTGAAGTTTTGTTTGAAGGAGTTTCTATTGGTTTGGTGTAGAAGGGTAATATGCTTGAATCAAGTTGCATTGTTTGTAGTTTGTCGTGATTCATGAATGGAATAACAATATTGGGAGGAACGTCTTCTGTCTGTTTGGAAACGGCTTCACATTGGTTTAGTTTATTGATTTCAACAACAACCTTTGCAACACAATCTGCGTCAGTTTTGTCGAAACAGTCTCGAATTCTGAGGCCACTCTTCCTTTTGACGATATAATTTGAAAACGTCTCTTCAAGTGTTTTTTTATCAAAAAGCCCAAAGAGTTTTTCCTTCTGTTTCACGAAGTCAATCAAAATACCTCTTGGGTCGGTTACACGGATTTTCATTGCTGCTGTGTGAACCTTTTTAATATGATCACTCATCCCACTCTTGGTCAGCCACTTGTCGTGCAAAAAACAATAATAATACGTCTCGGTGCCATATCCAACCAACAAAACTCCATTCACTAATTGGTTTTGTGCTGTCTTTCCTTTCTTAAAGATTAGCTCTTTATCTTCCTCTTCCATCTATTTCGCAAGTTCAACACTTTTCTTCTGAATATGAAGTAATAATCTTTTTTATACTTATAATATAGTTTATTTATAGTTTTTTCTTTGTTGGTGTTGGATTTGAATCTATAACGTACGATCTCAAAAGGTCCATTAATAACTGTAAATTATAATATTATAATGTAACAATAATTTAACTATATTTATATCGGAATATAGTTATAATCTTTTTAACATTAAATTAAAGTAATTTCATTTTTATTTCGCATATTTCTTCCGTTAAAAATAAAACTATACAATTATAGTGAAATTAAAAATGAAATTAAAAAATGTTCATTTTAATATTTTCTCGCATTGGGTGAGTATTTTCTGAGCATTAGCATCTGCCGATGTAACAAGCATATCATGTAGTATTCTGACATTAGTTGGAGAGTTTTTCTTTGCAACTTTAAGTGCGTCGGAGAATCGTTCGAGTTCGACGTTGATTTGTATTTGTTTTAAGTCGGAAGGAATTGCGTTGATCAAGTTTCCAGGCTTTGTTCTGAATCGTGTTTTGACAGCTTTGAAAACCAATTCACTCTTTTGTTCATCAGTGAGTGAAGTGTTTTGTTTTAAGAAATCCAACAGCTCTTGTTCTTTGACAACATCTATTAACTCCAAGTAGAAACCGAATGGAGTTTTAGGAGCGTCTGGGTCTTCTGTTGGACTTGAGAGAACTGCATTAATAATTTCGTGAAGTAACTGGAACATTCTCTTGTCGAAGAAATACTCTGCAATCGTCGCAACATCCGTCGTTGTTTTCAAATCAAAGACATTCACTTTAGCCAAACCCTCGTCGATCTTTTTCATAGAATCAAGTCTCTCCATTACTCTCTCTTGCGCACCATATTTCTTTACCATCATTGTATGAGTCGCTCTGTCTATTACATTACCACATCTCTCGATAATTTTGTCAATTAACGATAACACCTCTTTTCTTTTCGGAATATCTGTGTAATGAATGGTGTTAAAGTACTTAGAAGCTCCCATATAAGCCTTTTCATACATCTCAAGATGCAATGAGACATCCAAGAATATATCCCACAATTCGTTCTTCTCTAAGAAGTCTAACAACTTGATAATATCGCCCTCATGTGTTGTCTTCAATTTACTCAAAGTGTTCTTCATGATTTGGTATTGTTTATCATCCAACAAAGCGGGCAGATAAAGAGTCTGGAAGAATGCATCATCGGACAGTTTGACTGGCTCTTCAAGCGCATACAAAAACGCTTTTTCAAAGTTCCCTTCCACTACGTATTTATTGACAATCCATTGTTTGTGCTTCTCGCACGGACAGAATTGGAAGTAATATAACGCCTCAGTGTCCCACGTGTACTTCTGTCCTCTCCCTTTTGTCTTATTTTTTGTATCAATGATTTGTTGTTTAATCTTTATCCACTGTTCGTCGGGCGCTTTAATATTCTCTGGAGCTGCCAGTGGTTGATTTTTCTGTGTTGGTTTGCTTGGGACGGACTTTGGATTGCTAATGAAGTTGACAAGCATTTGGCACGAAAAGTTGTCTCCAAATTTGGTGTTCTTCCCTAAATCCTCAAAAATGTTTTCTACAATTTCTTTCAAGAGCCCATCGTCAACTTTCTCCTTTAGTTGTAAGAATACTTCCCTGGCTTGTTGGTATTGTTTTTGTTGTAATGTTTCGTAGAACGACATCATCAGGACTGGTACATTGTCCAGCCCTAAACAGTCACCAATAATCAAAGCTTCGTTCTTTCTAAAGACTGACTTGTCCCTCAAATCATCATGGAGAGTTTTGGCAGCTTCTTTTGATGTGAAGAGCGTCTGGAACGAAATACCCGAAGTGTGATGGGTTGTTGTCATCAGCGTGAAGTACACCCGAACCAATTGCTTCAAATGGGTAATTTTGACTTTGAGTTCTTTCAAGGAAGGAGCGAGCTCTTCATCTCCAATAAGTCCTTCATAGTATTGCAAAAGTTGATACACCAAACACACAATATTTCTGCTTTTTTCTCTTGAAAATGCTTGACTCTGAATTTGGTTTGCAACACCCAAACAATTCTCATAACATATTTTGGCTCCTACTTCTATGTTAGGTGCTTGGGCATATATCTCTTTGAGTGAGTTGAATAATTGACTGAACCCACCAATTGCTCCTTTGTCGAAGTTTTTGTAGTAATTTTGTGTTGTTTCATTCGCAAACGATAACAAGAACTCCTCCACTCTCAAACCCGGGAATTTCTTTAAGACGCTATTGATCGACATCGTGTTCTGAACTCGATTCTTCTGAACACAATCTTCAATGATCTTCAACATGTCTGTTCTCTTAGAAGACATGTATGACACAAATTCACTTGCTTCGTCTTGTCCGTCTTCCTCTAATAAAGTGCATATTGCTGTTTGTAATATTTCTCGTTCTTTGTCTTTGGGTGGTGGTTGAATGAACTCCAAACAATCGTAAGCCAATCGATATTTCTTCTTCTTTAATAACTGATTGACTGTGTCCACGGTTATATCAATATTATTCGCTTCCAAAGACACTTCAATTTGATGAATCAAGTTTGTCTTGTCATAAAGCTGTTTTAAGTTCACTGGGAAATTCTCTGGTGATATTTCACACACGCATTTATTGAACAATTTCCAACATTGATTTTGAGTGTATTTACCTTTTTCAAGTACTTTCACTGTTTGAATGAGTCTTGTCTTAGGGTTGGTAATTCTAATAAGAATAGTAAATATCTCATCAAAGTTGTCCTCTGTATTCTCCTTTTTTAAAAGCTGCTTCAATTGCGATATCACAATTTTCTCAACTAATTCTTTTGATTTCGTCTGAACGGCGTGAGTGTACGCGTTCGTGAATTCCGCTTTGCTCAAATAGTAACTCGCCATTATATCATGGAACTTTTCATTTCCACCAACGCTTGGATCGAGAAGGACCTTAAACGCGTCAATAGAATATAAGTTAAAGTTCACATTGAACACTTCTTCCTTCTCTCCTTTAAACGCAGACTCCAACTCTCTGTATTGTGTCAATTTCATATCAACGAACTGTTTCAAAGTCTCTGGCAACGAATTAAGTATCTTCTCTTCAAAAACAGGAATCTTGAAGTTCTCTGGATCGACGGAGAACAATGCAAAGACGATAGCTAAGTCGTCTCTCCCCATTTCATGTAAAAGCGATTGTGTAAACGAGTCCAACTTTCTTGACTTTTCAATGAGAATGGAATACACAATCGACCCAAACAAATCAATTCTGAACAATTCGCACATTTCCTTTGCGGCATCGGTCTGGTGCTTTTCAAAGAACAAAAAGTCGACTATTTGTTGTGGTGAGACTGTTTGTATTAAGTGCATTGCACACGTCGCTTTATCTTTCCAGATATCCCAGTGTTGTTGCATGTGCGTGTTAATATTAAGGACATACTCAATGAATTTTGCAGTCTTGTCATACACTGGCGCATTTTTCAAAAGTTCTTCGAGTCTGTGAAGCTCTTTTTCTTCTGCTTGGATACTTATAGTTGACGAGTTTTCAAATAAGTAGGTCAGACTTTTAGAAGCTTCTTTCAGTATGTTAATGTTCTCGAAAGTATAATGCGGGTCATCACTTATAAGGAGTCTTGTATATGACTCAAAAGTGTATCCCGAAGTGTATATCTTCTTGAATAAATCGTGGATTTTAACCAATTGATCTGGGGTATCTTCGTCTATGTACTTCTGGCATTCTTCAAAGAAGAATGAAGAGTCTTCAATGGGGTACGTGTGAACTGCTTCAAGTAACATCGCCAGTCTGTCAATTTTAGTTGAGTTTGGAACAGCCATGAGTGCATCAACAAATTCCGAAGCAGAAAGCCCTTTCTGGAGAATCGAATTCATCATCGAGTAAGTCACCAATTCTTGACTCGCCGGAGGGTCCAATATATCGAAAGGTAGTGGGACGTGTTTTGACAAAGCCAAACTGAGTAAAGTGTCCGAATCGCTCAAGAACAACTGTAATGGGTTATCAGACAATTGTAGTGTTGTTAAAGTGTTGAGCCGTTGTAATAAGAATTTCATTTGTTTTGAAAACTCTTCGTTGACCACCGCAGTATTGTAAGTTAACACTGTTCTCACGCTTTCCACTGTTGGTTGTGATTGGAAAATTTCATACAAAACCAACTGTACAAAAGAAACTTGTTGTTTCTCGTCCAAGGTGTTAAGCACCTCTCCAAACCCTGTTCTTAATAAGTTGGATGTTTCTCCAAGGGTATTGGAAAACGTGTTGTGTAAGTCATTCACAAATTTAATGCATTTTAACATCGCATAGTCATTTGAAAAAAGTGATTTGCAGACATCGTTCTCTTGAATAAGTTTAAGTAACTCATCCAAGTGTTCTAACACTCCGGTGTGGTGTAACATGATATACGGAAGAGAGTATTTTCCCACCAACACAAGCATGGGATGAATACTTTTGACATTCATTTCGGTCAGTTTGTTGCACAATACCAAATGGAACTTGAGTGCTTTAATTTTCTCGTTTGTAAGTGGATTCCATCCATTCAGTTTATCATCTGTGTTATTCTCTTTGGCAAGAGATATCAACAGTTCGATTAATTGCAAGTTTCTCGGGAACTTCTCTGCAATTTCCAATATGAGGACCGGCACCAATCGATTAAAGTAATGTCCCAATATTGTCATATGTCTTTGAATAATTTCCAAATCCTTTTCACTCAATGTGTGCGACTGAGCAATTGATTCTATTGCTTCAAAAGCAGTCTTATACGGAGTGAGCAACACATGTTCATTGTTGTAGACAGTACTTTTGTAGTACAATTTCCAGAACACAGATTTATCGTTATAAATCGACGCGGACGGATCTACCAAATCTGGATTGGTGAACAAAGTTTTCGAGAACTTTGAGCACTCATCTTTGTACATATCCAAGAAATGATAAAAGAAGTGGCTTCCACTCAAGAAAAGTGACTGCAATATCGAAGTGAAGTCCAACTTTGAACTTCCTCTAAATGAAAACTCGGAATTCTTTAAAAACACTGAAAATACTGAGTCGAATGTGTTATCGTATTTGGCGTCCACATTAATCATCACTCTGAGTACTTGATACAAAGTGTCATAATCTGCCGTCTCAAGCAACGCATTTAAAGAGTGGAGATATACAATTAATATATTAGTAATCACTAAATCAGCGTTGTTCACTGCTTTAACTAACTCTTGACATAACAGTCCGAAATGAATTGGGTTCTTCTGCAATCCATCTGACAAGAATTGCGTTAATTCTTGTTTCAAATGGGAAGACGTTGGGTCACTGACGATCACAAAGAATGATTCAAAATACTTTTTTCGTTCTTCTTGGTTATCAGTTGTAGCGCAAATTGCTTCGACCAACAATATCCCAAAGTGAATCTGTTGTTCCGTTTGTTGCATGTTCATTGTAAACAATCGTTCATCCTCTTTAGCACAACCCTCTTTCAAACTTTTGTAAAACAAAAAGGCAAGCCAAGCCATGTGGAATATCGTTGGGATATCTTCCGTGGCATTCCATGTCGTTGGAACACCTCCGGTACTCAAGTTCGTCAACAGATTAATAACCCACCCCTTGTCATTCTTTTTATATAATTCCTTCATCACCGCTGACGCTGCGTGAAATTTTCCATGGCGTAAAAGTTCGTGGACTAACGAGTGACTCTTGTTGAAGTCATCGGTCGTCAGAAATGGAAAGAACGTGGACATATTCTGAAGATTTTGAAGTTCTTGTAGTTCCTTATATGTTCGAATTATTTCTTTTTGTTCTTTTTGTGGTAAAACGTGACGCTATATATTGCTGTTTATTCGGGATCTCGAGATTGGATAGAATGATTAGTTTTTTGATTAGTTAATTAAGTTGAATTATTCAAGAATTTAACTTACGTATTCAAAATATAATTGATAGATTTTTATTATTTAACTTTTATTTACAATGATATGATATTAAAATAATCAGTATATTTTTGACTTTAAATGACTAAGATAAATAATAATATATTTTACTTAAAAACAATACAATTACGGTAATTGTTAAGTAAAATAATCAAACGAAATGTTCATTGTCAAATAGAATCTAAATGACTAAAATCCAATTAATTACAAATTAATTAATAAAAAGAGAAGAAACTGAAAAAAGTAAATGTCTGAAGAGATACCACAAATCTTATCCTCAATTAAAGCAGTAATAGGAGATGTTGGAATTGAAAAGTATCAAGACTCCGTTCCAGACATGGGGTTAGAATTTTTAACGCGGTACTTAACTGATTTAATTGGCGATGTTGTGGTATTCAGCGAACACGCAGGCAACCAGCAACCGACACTCAATGACGTTAAAATGGCGATAAAAATGCGACACCGAACAACAACATCGACTTCTAAAGATCAATTGAGAGAACGTGTCAATGCCTGTAACACGTCGAAATTACCTCGAAATTTCACGGCTTCTATCGAACTTCCAAAACCACAAGAAGACACCTTCACTCTTCTTCAAAGAAATTATCGTGTTAAAACAGTTTGTTTCATCACTTCTATAAATACAATATATGTTAATATCGTAGAACGAAGACTTCGACGACGATGATGATGACACTAAACAACCACAAGCTTCTGAACTCCCATCGCTTCCCCTTCCTTATTAATTTGATTGATATTTCTGTTCTTCTTCTTGTTATCCTGTTGTCTGTTTGTTGGTTTTGGTACTATAATTATGTAACTAGTATTACTAGTATTATTAATGGTAGAACGGGTATTTATATTCAATAGTATTGATATCATTAAATAAAACTATTTTATATGATTTGAGGTAAAAACAAGACGACTTTGGTCGGTTTTAAAACGTCATTTTTCTTGGAGGTCTCTGTGGCATTTTTAACCGACAAAAATCGGGAAAATGCAGTAAAATAACAATTTGATTGACTTGGAATTTATTAAGTCATTACCATTTTTACCAAATAATAAATTGTGGTAGAGCACCAAAATATTTTGAAACGGTTTTGGTGCAAAAACGCGTGAAGGAAAGTCATTGAGATTTTTGACATCTTGAAAAGACATTCAAAATGGAAAAGACAGACCTAAGCACAGACATCCCTTTGGTCTCTTCCTCCGACGACGATTGGCTTTTCCCAGTCGACAAGAGGAAGTGGTATGAGAAAATCCCATTCACACATTGGTACAAGAAATTTTATATGGTTTGTTCTTTCTTTCAGAATTTAACACTTCTTGTGAGGACCAAAATAACAGTGAGCCGAGAACAATTAAAAGAACAACTGTTGAGATTAAAAAGGCGCCCAAGTACGTGACAAACAAAATTGCAAATACAAGATACACGTGGTGGAACTTTTTGCCAATGTCTTTGTTCAATCAGTTCAAGTACTTTTATAACTTGTACTTCTTACTCAATGCATCGTCCCAGTTGATACCTGCTTTTAAGGTTGGAATGACATTCACTTATTTCGCGCCGCTTGTGTTTGTTGTTGCGTTGTCTATTTGTAAGGACGCGGTGGACGAAATCAGAATCAAGTTGAGAGACATCGTTTGTGTTTTAGCAACGGAAATGTTAAAATAACATTAACAACATTTGATGGTTACAAATAGAAATTGAATAACGAAGAATTCGAAATGGTGAGCCAAGGACAATTCATACCTGTCAAGTCAAAGGATATCAAAGTCGGTCAACTTCTTCGACTTAAAAAGGGCCAAAGAGTTCCAGCAGACTTGGTGATACTCCAATCTGCTGACGACGAAGGAACGTGTTTTATTAAAACGGACCAGCTTGACGGTGAGACCGATTGGAAGTTTAGAAAGTGTATCAAAGAATTTCAAGGACTGCCAATAGCCGAGTTGGAAACATCCGAATTTGATTTGGACACCGAAGCACCACACAACGCAATTTATTCGTTTATTGCAAGGGTGAGAAAAGGATATGACACAATCCCAGTTTCGATCGATAACACGGCATGGGCAAACACCATTTTGGTGAGTGAGGAGATTGTTGGAATTGTTATTTACACGGGAAAAGAGACAAGAAGCTCGATGAACAGAAACGACCAACGGAACGTGAAGGTTGGTCGTGTTGACATGGCGTTAAACCGTGTTTCAAAAGTTCTTTTCTGTATTATGCTCGCACTCTCTCTTCTGATGGTGTGTCCTGATGTTTTCCATGGCATTTTCTCGTTCTTTACTGTTGTTACTGTTGTCAGATTCATGGTGTTGTATTCTTCGATTATTCCAATTTCTATTCGAGTCAACCTCGATATCTCTAAACTGATTTACTCGTTTTTTATTTCGACCGACGACAAAATGGAAGGCGCGGAAGTAAGAAACTCGTCAATTCCAGAGGAACTTGGTCAAGTACAGTTCTTGCTCTCGGACAAGACAGGTACTCTGACAAAGAATGAAATGTCGTTCAAAGTGCTTTCGCTGGGCACACAATCGTATTCCGTTGACAGTGCGGAGGAAATGAAAGACGAGCTGAAAGAGTACTTACAGACAGACAACACACAACGTGTCATGAAAAACTCTTCGACTTCGAAAATGGCAGAGTGCATCAAGGCACTTGCGTTGTGTCACAACGTAACTCCTTGTGTTACTGCTTCTGGCGAGAGGTATTACCAAGCGAGTAGTCCCGACGAAGTTGCACTTGTCAAATTCACAGAGCAAGTTGGTGTCATTTTAAAAGAGAAAACATTTGCGAAAATGGTTTTGGATGTCGAAGGTCGGGAGGAGCGCTTTGAGATTCTGAACATGTTCCCATTTTCCTCGTCAACCAAACGGATGGGTGTTATAGTCAAAAGCGACGAAGGGATTGTGTTGTATATGAAAGGCGCCGACTCGATAATGGCGCAATTGATTGATAACATCGAGTGGCTTGGCGAGGAATGTGGCAACTTAGCCAAAGATGGATTGCGAACGTTGGTATTTGGGAAGAAGATCATACCAAGTGATGTGTATGAAGTGTTTAAGAAGGAGTATAATGTCGCGAGTTCAATGATGATTGGCAGAGAAGAGGCAGTTGCAAAAAGTGTTTCGAAGATCGAGGGACACCTCCACATGTTGTGTATAACTGGTGTTGAAGATGAGCTTCAAGACGATGTCCAACAGTCATTAGAAATGCTCAAAAGAGCTGGTATTCGCACGTGGATGCTTACTGGAGATAAAGTTTGTTTTATCGATGTTTAAAGATGTGGTTCGATTTAACACAAAGGTTGAAACTGCGCTTTGCATTGCGAAATCGACTCGGTTGGTTAGTGTCGATCAGGAAGTCCGAGAATTTTTTGCGTCGTCGAGTTTGGAAGCTGAAGCGTTAATGGAGAAATACGGTGGTAATATCAATGAAGAGGGTCTTATTGTTGATGGCTCGACTCTGTCGTTGGTCTTAAAGGAGCTTCCAATGCGATTCATTCACTTTGCATTACAAGCGAAAAGCGTGATATGTTGCCGATGTATGCCAACACAAAAGGCTGAAGTTGTCAACCTGGTGAAGAAGAGTGGTATAAGAACGTGTGCGATTGGTGATGGAGGGAACGACGTGAGTATGATCCAGGCTGCGGACGTTGGACTTGGTATAGAAGGAAAAGAAGGAAAGCAAGCCTCAATGGCTGCGGACTTTTCTATGAAACAGTTTTCCCATGTGACTCGGATACTCTTGTGGCACGGACGTAACAGTTACATCAGATCATCGGACCTTGCGTTGTTCATCATGCACAGAGGAATGATCATTTCTATCATGCAAGCAATTTTCAGTGCCATATTCAACTTTGCTCCAGTTGCATTATTCCAAGGGTTTTTGTTGATGGGATATGCCACATATTATACAATGTTCCCAGTCCTTGCCATTGTATTGGACGAGCGAGTGAACGAGCAAAAGGTGATGGAATTTCCCGAATTGTATTATCAGCTGCAAACAAAACAACGATTGTCGATGACAAGTATGTTAACGTGGGTGTCTGTCAGTATCTTACAAGCTGTTGTCATCATGTTTTTGTGTATGTTCCTCTTCAAAGAGACTTTTCTTGATATTGTATCGATCTCGTTCACTGCGCTGATTTTGATTGAACTCATCAACGTCGGGTTTTCTATAAAGAGGTGGAATTGGTTAATATTATCGTCTGAGTTATTCTCAGTTACGATCTACTTCCTCTCGTTTTTCTTCCTCAAGTCGTACTTTGGTTTGTTTTTTTATTTATTTTCCACGTCAAACTCTTCACATGTATTGACCGTGTAGATCTGCATTTTGTCTTTTCGTGGCAGTTTTGGTGGAAGTTGTTTGTGATAGTGGTGTTGACGTCTATTCCGTTCATCGCCAAATTCATCTACCAAATCATCTTCCCTCCAAAGTCATTGACTGTTGAGAACAGAAGGTGGCCCGTCAGTTTCAACACAAAGTGCCCTAAAATGCCAAAGATCAAGATGTTTAAGAAGTACAACAAGTATTTCAAATGGTTCAACCCATTGAATTGGTGTGCGTGTAAGAAGAAAAACAACCAAGGACCTTATGAACAACAGATGGTTGACCTATAACATGAGTGATTATTTTATTCTTTATAATTACTTTTGACTTTTTTATTAAGTACCTTTCATGAGTTATAATACTTTCTATTGTGTCTTTGTTGCATTAAAAGTCACAGCAACACAACAATGATAAACAATTCACATTTCAATTGTTCGTATCTATCGCATCTTTTTTTTTTGTTTCGCATTTTTCGGTCTTTCTCGAAAACAAGTTTGTTTTCAACAAAAAACATTTTTCTCAATTTCATTTTAAAAATGTTATTAAAAGAACTTTTATTCATATGATTTCTTTTAGATATTTTCAACGAAAAAAATGATTTTTTTTGTTACTTTTTGGTAAAGAAATTCATTTGACATTTTTCGTAATCGAATCTTTGTTGATTGTCTCAAATAATTGAATTCAAAACTTTGTTTCCCAAAAATCAATATTAACTATTTAAATATAGTTTACAAAAATATAATTACTATATATTGATAATAAATGGGAAACAAGATTTGCATTCCAATGATACGTTACCTCAAACTCGAGAATTAAAAAAATTCGGCCTTTGTTTTTTTTGGTTTTTTTAATATAGTAATAGTACCATAACTATAAAAGAATTAGGATGCAAGTACATACCAAACAAAAAGGTGAATTTGTTACGAAGATCTCTTGTTGTAATATAAAGTTCTTCACTTAAAAATTCCTCATAAAAAGTCGTTGTTTAACTTGAAACTACAGATGACACAAACGTACAAAATCGACTTGAAATACTTGGAAGAGATCCAGGAGGACGTCTTTGTTGCACTTCACTCGACATCAACTGAAAAGGGTGTCGAGGAGGTTGCCATTCACAAAGCACTCATTGCTGGTGGTGATCAATGCACAAAAATATTGACTTATTTGTCTCTCAAATCCACGCTGATTGAAGGCAAAGACAATACTCCACAAGTCATTGTGAGCAATTCAGAGAAGTTTAATATGACCGAGGGTGCAGTGATCACCATTCACCAAGAACATTTAAATTCATTAGTTCAAGGAAGTGGAAAGAATGATTTGATGTTCTACGCACTTGCTTTATCACAACTGAAATTGTTGCTGTTCCCGGGTGATTCCAAGACAATGAATGAGGCTACCACTCTTTATGAAAATACTTTGAAAAACACAACAGAGAAGAAGAAGAAGGCTGAAGACCTTTTTGTCCAACTTAAGAAGTACAAAACCGTCTTTGACGAATTGATCAACAAGGACTTCCCACTCACACTCTTTGAAGAAATTGAAAAGTTTATTGTGGACTCATTTACTAACGAAGTCTTTGTGGAAAACTACTTCGCTCCCATCGAGGAGATGCTCATTGCACTTTTGGGATATCCCATTGACTTGATTCGAGAAAGAGCACTTGTCCTCTTAAATTGTTTGTATGATGGAAGTTTGTACGAGACCACTGCGCCCGTCTTTGTGGAAAAAGTGTTACAAGTTGGGGATGTGCTTACACTCACAAACACATATAAACACCCAATATATAGTACAATTATCAGTGAAGGAAAGAACCTCATTGCGGAAGTCACTATGCCACAAGCTAAAATACTTGATGTCAATTCACCACTCCAAAGAACAAGCTACTATACACCACTTAATATGAACATCGGAACTACACAAAAGCCTGGAGAGTATGATGTGGTTGTTGGCACAATAGAGAATAATAAGTTTGTGCCGTGCAAGTGCTCTGGTGGGTTTGTTCAGGTCCGGTTACTTGTCCTCCCAGAGAAGGCGAAGAACATTTCCTTGTACGGCGTTTCGGATGGTGGAGATAAACCAGAGTTGTTGACGAGCGAAGTTGTTGAAGAAGCGGGAATCAATATGGTGCATTTAGTCTTGTTAAACACAGTCAAGACAAGAACTTTGGAAGACAATAAATTTGCACATGATTTGTTTGAGAAGGTCAGAGGATTTGAGACCAGAAATGTCGGGATGATGGTTGATTTTCCATTACAAGTCTCGTCTTCGGTCCCAGAGTCTTCACCGTACCGTGCACTCTTTTGTGATGCAGACGGACATATTGCGGGGACGAGTGATTGGGCGTACTTAAACTTCAGAAGTGTGACGTGTTGGGATAAGGCAGTTGAAGATATCAAAACATTACAAAGAGAGAGTCGGGTCGACGCTGTTCGTATTACATCGCGTGCGGAGTCATTACTTCCGATTGTTGTGATGGATACGGAGAAGTCGAAAAACATGACGGGATGTGTTGTTGATCCACAGTGCATTTACGATAACGAAAAGCTGTCACAAGGGTATCCCAATCCATTCTTGAGAAAGTTGACGAGAGACGTCTGGAAGACGAACCCGGACTTTGTTTTCTTTGTTGACGCGTTTGACGAAGAAGTGATGTCCGATATCCGCTCTGGTGTCTTGCCCTATATTGAAACGATGAAAGCGATGTGGTCGCCGAAGTTTGAGAGAGTCTTCCAACTGGGAAGCTTGTCTGGTCAAATCAAAGCACTGAAAGAACTTAAAGAGCCGTTCTACCCAGAGAAGTACCCACAAGGGACCACATTTGCACATCAGCCGTTTACTATTCATCCTGCTATGCAACATTTCATGGCAGCGCTGCCCGTTATCCCCTGTTTGAATTCGAATAACACGTATAACGAGAAATACGCACAGTTGAACAAGAAGAGAGCACTTATTCGAGAAAGAGAGCAACACTTGATGATCTTTGGTAAGATCAGGGTGCTCACCTGTGTGAATGACGCCGGAGAGAACCAAGACCAAGTCATTGGGTTGATGCGTGAGCATTCGCACTCGTCAACTGCCGCCCTTGTTGCTATTAACACAGCGGACTACGCAACGACAGTCCACTTTGACTTGAAAAACATGAAATTGAAACATGAACCCAAAGACGATGATGTAATGGAAGTGATTGATGTTGTCACACACCACAGAGAGTTGATGAGTTTCAAGGAGTTGTTAGAAGAACAGATTCCCATCAAGTTGAAGCCATTTGATATAGCGTGCATCAAGTTCACAGAATACGCTCCACATAATTGCTTGAGAATTGATCAAGAGCACCAACAAAGCGCGGTGAAGCGTGTCATTTCACTTGTCGAGAGTGGAATGAATCCAAAAGGAAATTCAGTGTTTGAAGACTTGCTGAAGTACTTCAATGAGAAGAACGAGGGTGGGTTGTCGAAGTACATTCACAACTTGCAGAGGGCACTCAGTGCCACAGGAGTGTTCTGTGCGCCAGAGAAAGTCGCTGCGTTCATTCATGAGATCTTCTTCCAAATCAATAACATCAGTGGTCTGAGAGACAGACACACGCCAGTGATCGGGTATGACGCCATTCGAGGTGTTGCAAGTGACAGTGGAAGTTCTGCCGACATCTGTCGACTTGTTTTACAGAAGAATAAGATGGGACCTATTGTTTTTGTCACTCCGGAACTTGGACGATTCTCGACGATTGGAGGGATTGGGGTGTTGATCAACGAATTGACGAAAACGCTTGCGGAGTTAGGGTCAGAAGTGATAGTGATCTCGCCGTACTATAACACCAACAAGAAAGGACAAACCGGGTACTTGAAGAATGAAGGTGTGAAACAAACGGGGACGGTGACGATCAAAATAGCGCATGAGCCGGTGAGTTGTGGGGTGCACTTTACACGTGAGAATAACGTCGACATGTACTTCTTACACAACTACAACTACTTCCCAATGGCATATCCACCATTCAGTGCTGAAGACCATTTACGATCGGCCGTGTTGTTAGGGAAAGCGACGTTGCAACTGTTGTGCGACAACAACATCCACCCTGAATTGATCATAACGAATGATTGGTTGACTGGGATGGTACCTGCCTATGGTAAACACCAATTTGGAGATTACTATAAGAATACGACTTTCTTCCATATCGTCCACAACTTGGAGAAAGGATATATCGGAGACTTGTACCCGGACAGAGATCTGTCATATGTCCACGAACTTCCGGGGGAGTTGGTGAATAACCCCGGCCCAAGAAGTATTAACATGTCGATGTGTGCGCTGAAGTGTTCAGATAATTGGGGGACAGTGAGTAAGAGTTATATGATCGATGCGCTGCACGGGTCACCGTTGATGTACTTCCTCAATATGTTCCCGAAACCATTTGCGTGCAGTAATGGCATTTCCGTAGTCCATCGAACGGAAGTGTTGAAGAAGATCTCACCGAATCTGGATCACTATGAATGTAAGAGACAATTACAACAGAAGTACTTCAATCGCGTTGACGATTCGATTCCATTGTTTGGATTTGTCGGAAGAATCTGCGAGCAAAAGGGAGTCTTCTTGTTGTTGGATGCGATTTGGACGATTGTCAAGGAGACGGAAGGGAAGTGCCAATTCATCATTGGAGGGATGGCACCGTCGGATGATCCATATGCCGTTGCGTGTGCGTCGAAGATGAGAGAAATGTGCGGGACATTCCCACAATGCTTCTGGGCAGAACCGTCGAAATTCTTCACAGATGGCCCACTGATGAATATGGGATGCGACTTCACATGTATGCCAAGTATGTTTGAACCAAGTGGGTTGGTCCAACAAGAAAGCTTCTTGGGTGGAACACCAGTCATTGCGTTCCAAACGGGTGGACTGAAAGATACCGTGTTTGAGTATGACCCCATCAAGAAAACAGGGAACGGTTTTGTCTTCCAAGGATTCGCAATCGGAGACTTGATCTACGCTATCCAAAGATCTATTAAAGTCTTTAAAGACCACGAAAACTATACTATACTCAGACAAAATGCAAGTAAATCAGTCCTCGATTTGACAGACGTCGCTATTGCGTGGGGAGCAGAATTTGGAAGACTCAAGAAAAAAGTCTTCACTTTCAAACTTTGAATTTTACAACAACTTTTTTCAGTGTGATTGTGGTTTTGAGATTTTTATTATTAATATATTTTATATATATAAAGGTATAAAGATATATGGTATTTCATATTTCATAGTATCAATTAATAAATAACTGATTCTATGATGATAGTATTTTAAAAAAATAAGATGGTATTTTCATCTTCAAAAATGAGTGAGAGGATTGGATGGAATGGAACAAAAGCATCGAAAAGGAGAGGTTATAGAGAAAGGATTAAAAGGTAATGACAATCAGATTGTTGGTTGATATTGTCACGTTAGCTGTCATTACAGCAGCTTCTATTTGCGATGGTAAAGAGGAAAATGGATATTACTGCGACGGAAATATATTGACGAATTGCGCGGACGGGGATGTGCTCACGGCGACGCTGTGCACGTTGGGGTGCAACGAAACGACAAGAACAAAAACAAGTTGCACCGGGTCGAGCTCATGTTTTTATGGGTATCCAGGGAGTTTTTGTGAAATCAAAAAGGTGGGAGAGGACTTTCAAAGTGGTGTGACGGTGTGTCACAGAAACGGAATTCAGCAATACTTTTCATGTCTCACCGATTGTGTACAACTGACAGAATCCTTTGCGAGGTGCACACCTTCAGACAAATGCGTGTGGCTTGACAGATCGTCAAAAACGTTTGGGTACTGCCCAACACCCAAAACACAGATCCACGAAAGTGATAGGTACAACTTTGCTTTGAACGACGCTTTGGCGAGAGAACTCCAACAAGAGCTGGCATTAAAATCGCCGTTTTGCCCGTTCATGTCATACCTCGCTGCATGTTCATTGGTGTACACCGAGTGCACAACAAACGCGTTCTTTTCAAAGGAAGATGGGACGTCGTGTTTCACCGATTGCAACAATTACAACGACTGTGCGGAACTTTCTGGGATCAGTTCGAAACTGGACTGCTCGATGCTGTGCGCGACAGACATTGTTACGCTCCATTTGTTTTTGTTATTCATTCTTTTGTTATAATTATGATATTACCACGAACATAACTGAACAAAGAAGTGATGAAAATGTTAAGCGAGGAGACCCTCGATGTTATACAACCTGAAAATGGTCTGGACGTATTCGAGATTCATCATCGCATCGTTCGGCTTGCAAACAAGAACCCACTTCGCTCCGATCAATACAAATTCCCTCCAACTCTTGTCTTCATCCTTTTTGAAGGCGGTGACAATACTCTCTCCAGCAATAATGAAAAGTTCTCCAAGAACTTCTCCACAATCGTCAAACATCCCAAAGTACTTCAAAACGTCTCGCAAATCGGCACCACAGCACAACAAGTACCCCATGATCTTCGCAAGTTCTTTGACAGGGGACTGGTTTGGTAAGATTTTTGTTGTTGGGTGGAACCATTTCTGGTCCTCTCTTAAGAAGAACCAATACCGCAAAAAGTCGATGTAACACAGCAACGCCTCTTCTCGTTTGTCATCACCAACCAATTCACAACACCCATCAACTGTCTTTGCGTTCAAATCTAAGAACTCCAAAATACCACCTCTATACTGTGGTATCTGGTTTAACTTTTGCTCGTACTCAATACAATGTCCGTTAATTTTCAGCTTCTTTCGTTGCATATTGAATACTGTTGTGTACCACTCTTCGACTTGTCCTTTCTCCATTCTTTTTAGAGTTCCTTGTATTAACTCAAATTACTATTTTTATATAAGAAAAATATAGTAAAAATTAACTAGAAAATATACTACACAAAACCCAAGGACAACCAAAAAAGACTTAAGCAAAATACGACAAGCTTTTTTTCTTCTTGCTCTGCACCTCGAGAATTCCTTGTTGGAAGTCTTCATGTCGGATTTCGAGTGCTTCTCTCCTCAGTGCAAACATACCCGCTTCAACACACACAGCCTTCAACTGCGCCCCATTAAAATCTTGAGTTGACCTCGCGAGTTCTTCGTAGTTGACGTCGTCAGAGCACTTCAATTTCTTCGCGTGGATTTGTAAGATGTTAACACGGGCCTCTTCGTTCGGAGTTGGAAACTCAATTTTTCTGTCAAACCTCCCACTTCTCAGCAACGCTGGATCTAACACATCGATTCTATTTGTTGCGCCAATAACTCTGACATCGTCAGTCTTACAAAATCCATCAAGCTGATTCAACAGCTCAAGCATTGTTCTCTGAATTTCTCTATCTCCCGAGTGTTCCGAGTCATTTCTTTTGGTTCCAATCGCGTCGATTTCATCTATGAAGATGATCGCCGGCGCTTTCGACTTTGCAAGTGCGAACATGTCTCGAATAATTCTTGAGCCATCACCAATCGAGCTCGACACCAATTGCGGCGCCGCCAACTTCAAAAAGGTTGATTTAGTCTGAGCGGCGCACGCACGTGCCATCAACGTTTTACCCGTTCCTGGTGGTCCGAAGAGTAACACGCCCTTTGGCGTTTGAATTCCGAGTTTTTCAAATTTCTCTTTCTGTGTCATCGGGAGGACAATTGCCTCAATCATTTCATTCATTTGTTTGTCCAATCCACCCACATCCGCGTACGTCTCTGTCGGTCGTTCGATGACTTCCATCGACTTGACTCTCCCGTCGTATTGTTCGGGGAGTTTTTCAAGTATCAAATACGTATCTTTATTCACCCCAACCAAATCTCCCGGTTTGATATCTTTAACATCGACTAATCCAGAGACCGGAATGAAGATATTTGATCTCATCGATGTGTATATCACAACACCTTTAGTACTTACAGCTTTGTTATCCAACCCAGACCCATCATCCGTCTCTTCAGGGGGCATATCTAAGATCTCCACGACGTTCGATATCAAAAACGGAAGTTTCGCAAACATCTCGATCTTCTCTCGGGACTCTTTGTTCTGTTTATTGATCACTGCCAACTCTTGGCGGATACGTTCATGCTCGTGCTTAATAACACCCTCTTGTCGTTCCATTTGCTTCACTTTCTGTTTGATCTGCTCCGTGCTTTGACTCAATACGTCCTTATCATTCAATAATACCAGCTCCTCCTCGGTGAAGCTGTCCATCACTTTCTGCTTTTTCAAGTTCTCCACTTTTCCCACAGTTTGAAGTTTCAAATATTTTGACGTTTTTCTATTTTGAAGATCATTTTCAAGTTCCTTTCACCTATTTTCGTTGAGGTTTTTGATTGTATTGAGTATAGTTTTTCGTTAATTAATTATTATTTTCTAAGTGGTTTTGTTTCTCACATTTTTTCTTTCACTTAATCTCCACGATTCCCGTTTATTTTTGTTTTTTAAAACTAAAACTAAAGGACACTCTTAAAAAATGGCAATTATATAAAAAAAAAACTAAACTTTTTTTCTCAAAAAATCCGTCTCATTATAGTAAAAAGTGATAAACCGCGAACTCAAAATTAGAAATTTACAGTTCAAATTACTGACGATTTTCGGGTTCCGGTATAATAGCGTCAGGGACTAATTGCTTTATCGGCTCGTCTGGTTTGTGGTCATCGTCGTCACTCCCACTTGTTGAGCTGCTTGAGTCATCGTCTCCTTTCAAGTTTTTAAGGTGGTTTTTGTATCTCAAATGGACTGCATGTGGTGTTTTTCCAGGAAGGCATTTGCTAATTTCGATCCACTTCTTTCCCAACACTTCGATCTTCTTTAAGACCAAGACATCTTCCTCGATTGTGAAAGGTTTATTATCGATAGTCGGGTCGAGATGATTGTAGTACCGCATTTTGCAATCAAAATGGTCGCGAAAAGGCAAATTTGAAGCGACGGCAGCCCAATTGTCAAGACCGAATTCTTTGATTGATGAGAGAAGAAGATTGTCCTCATCAGTTGTCCACTTGGGAATCTTCTTGCGTTTTGTCTCTTTCTTCTCTTTCTTTTGAGTTTTAGCGTTCTCTTTGATTTCCGTTTGAGGTGGACGAATCGGTTTTGAGTTTTTGGTTGAATTGTTTGGTGATTTTTCAATGGAGTTTTCTTGGGGGCTGAGAGGCGCATTCTCGGACGAGTTGTCATTTTCGTTTGAGTGATCACTCATTGCAGAACGAAAGTAAATTTGAAGATGGAAAAATGGAGCAAATTAGTGGAAAAGTGATAAAAAGAAACAGCCAAAAATAAAATAAAAATTTCAATTTTGGTGTAAGAAAGACTCTTTGAATTGCGGCACATTCAACGAATTGATCTTTTTGAAGAGAGAAAAGTACAACACTGGCGACGCAATAAAAAGGACGTGGATGATTACAAGGTATATGAGAACGGGAATCGACGCGACAAATTTTGAGTAATGCTTAAACTGTCCAACATTAAAGCAGATCATCAAAATCTGTGCAATCGAAAATAGGACGAAAAGCCCACGTAATGAGATGAAGACAAGTCCTGTCCGTGCAGTTGTCTCTCTGAAAAAGAGGAAACTTATGAAATAAAATATGAGAGACAATATGAGAAAACTTCCACAGTAAAGGTAATTGTTTCCAAATATCGATACAGTTCGTATGGTGAGACACAAAAAGACTTCAAAAAGCATTCTGAAGATGTCTGAGGCCAGCATACACCCAAAGGAGAAGTCATGGCCAAACGATTCTTTGCGGATGACGTATGTTGGAATCGCTTTGTAATAGTCTGACACTCGAAGTGAACTATTTAAAATTTCCATCACAAATATTGGGATGAAATAATACACTACATTCCCTTGAAGGATACCGTCAATTCGAACCGAGATTATCGGCAACATCACCACGAAAATCAAACAAATCACTGAGCACAAAACACGATTTGGCTTTTGGTTAACACGCATTCAAATGATAAAAATAAAAAGTGACAAACGGAAGACACTGAAAAATACACCCGAACAAACACCATCAAAGATATCAAATAGAGTGGAATATTAATGAGAGAGTAATAAAAGGAAACAATGCCATTCAACTTGAGCATTAGTAAAATGAACCAAACATCGAAAAGAACAAGAATGACAGCGGCTGTCAAAAAAACGAAGAGAGATAGAAGTGTGAATGTAGTGGTTGTCACTTTTGTCCCAACAATGGTGTCAATAGTGTTTTCGTAATCGTCGAACTCTTGCTCTTTGTTTTCTTCCTCGTGGATAAGCACACTGGAGTCGTTGTCTTCACTCATTTACACACAATAAACGTATTTGAGTTCTTAAATAAATTTATAAGTTCAATTATTGAGTGAAATGGATAAGAATTATCCTCTAAGTTTCAACAACTAAAGTAACTATTTGTTTTGGAACTTATTCGATCGTCGCAAGGATACTTGTATGCTCTTTAATTTAATAAATCAGTCACTCCGTTGAGTGATCTGAACCTCTTTCTTTTTACAAAATTTAAGAACAAATTTTATATAATAGTTAATATTATAGTATAGTATAGTATAGTAATTATTCGAAAAATATATCGACACTAATAATTTTAAATAAACGATTTGATGTTTTTTTTTGTGATTTCTCGAATTTATAATCCGATATAATTAACACCAAATAAACATGAATTAAAAAAAGGTATTAAAAAATAAACTAGTATAGTAATGTTTTTTTCCAACTTCCAAAAAAACATAAAAAAGTAACCCTCATATCAACCCGATATTGTAGACAACCGACTTCTAATTTATTAACAAAAAAAGACTCAAAAAAAACGCGAGGGTTTTGAAATCATTGTAACTTGGATGGTAAACGATGGAGACAATTGCAGTGAAGACTGTATCAGACTCACACAAAGTACTTATGGACGGCCTTGAGTCTGGGAAGAGTGTATATTTAGATACTCGTTTTGAATGGGACATTGGTACTGTTATAACTGACTACATTGTGAAAATATCAAGCGAATTTCCAAAGTACAACGAAGACGACATTTCAGAAGAAAACAAAGGGGGTCCATACGCATTAATATTATGTGGCGATGATGAGGAGGTTGCTCGCATTCACTCCATTACCAAATCACAAACGTCACTCAATGTTGGTGTTTTTCCAAATCCAAGTCCAATTGAAACGACATGTGAAAAAACCAAGAAAAAGTATCCAATTTTCATTGGGACTGTTTCTGGTATATTATCTGAAATGTTTTTAATGGACAAAGGATACCCTTCACAGAATCTCAGATTTGTAGCGTTTTTGTCCGGGGCGAGCATAGTCAGAGCTGGGCTTGAGAGGTACATCTTGAAAATAGCAAATCGAATTCCTCAATGTCAGCTGTTTGTTGAGAACACCGGAAATTTCTCAGAGGATGTGATGGCTTCATTAAAGTGCAATTATAAGATCGTCGTTGACGAGAAACCCGATATTCAACAACAAGTCAGTTGTTTATATTATAAACCTGAAGCGAAGGGGAACTTAATTGCTTCGATCATTCAACGAAACAAAGGGAAGAAAATTGCGTTTTTGTTCTTGTCTTCGGAGGAAGCGGTGTTCTTCCAGGATGTGATGAGTCGTCTTGAACTTGTCGATGGATATGTTTTGAACAACACACAAACATTAAATGAACAAATTGAAGTGATCACACAATTCAACGAAAAGGCGGACGGCGTTATGTTCTCTGCGCAAGAGAGAAAATTCAAAAACGTTGATTTGGCTATATTTGTCGATCCACCCAAAGAGTTATTAAATGTCCGCTATCCCGGTGCTGGTAATATCATTCTCTTTGGCCTTGAAAGTGAGAAACTGTTCTTTGAGAAACTTGGAGAGAAAAGAACACTCAAAACGATTAAAATGGTTGAGAATCAACTGAATGACTATTCCCCAAAAATAGAGCAACTTGTTGCAAAGCAATATTTTGTTCATGTGAATGCAAGAACAGCATATCAACGGTTCCTCCAAAATTATGTGCATTTGGATTTCATGGGCGTTTTTGGATTAAAGAGAAATGAACTTATTCCTTACGCGCATTCATTTGGTCTTACAAAACCTGTTAAGACGAATTTGGGTTTGTTTTTATATCAATTTTATCGAGTGGATTATACTAAATTGAACTTAATTCGATAGTAACAAATAGCTAATACGACTTCAAAAGAAGTACCCGATGTCCCCGTCGTGTACGAGAAAAAGGTGTTTGTCGGATCGGATGCGACCGTGTCCAGGTTAAGAGATAGACAAAAGGAGTTGAAGAACGCTAGGCTGATGAAAAAACTCGAAATTGGAAAAGGAAAGAGAACCAAAAAAAGTAAAAGCAAAAATAAATCGAAGAAAAGACAGGTAAGAAGAAACAAAAAATGAATGATGATTGGGTGTTATTAAGTTTTTACTCTTGTATTATAATAATACTTGTAATATAATAATATATTAAACAATACTATTATTATTATTTATAATAATATTTTTATTAATTATTAAACAATAGTTAAAAAAATCAATAACTCAATCACAAATAACACTTTTTATTTTATTAAATAGTTTCCCGCAAAAATTCATATAAATATAGTAAAATTTGAATTAATAAATAATTCACAACACCAAAGTGAATTTTAAAAAATGTTTTAAAATTTTACAAAAGAGAAGTAGTTTCTCAAATAAAAACTCAAAGGGTTTTTCAAAGAAGATTATAAATTAAAGAATATAGTTAATTTAACCAATTCATTTAGTAAAACCGATCATTTGCAACACCAAAAAAAACAGGAAACTCGAAATGAAAAAGAAAACGATTGAACTAGAAAAAAAAATAGAAAGTGATGCGTACACAATCACAGTCAAATTCTCCAATGTTTCCTTTGGGGACAAGTGAGTTGTTTGGTGACACAATAAGTGGGATAGATGGATACAAAATGCAGAACGGGTTTTTAGTCGCAACGGCATCGTGGGACAAGACGTGCAAAGCGTTTTTTGTCACTTCACCAACTAACATCCAAGGCGCGAGCCAAGTCACAGCGACGACTCCAATTACTTGTCTCACTAAAATGCAAAACAACTTGTTTGCGTACGGGACTGCGGGAGGTGCCGTCGAGGTGTGGTCTGTCGAGAAAAATCAAAAACAACAAGTTTCACAACACCAGTCGTGTGTCACATCAATCAAATTCATTGCACCACTTGGTGCTCTGATCACTTCATCTCTCGACGGGACGATCATGTTGACAGAACTTAACTCTGGGAAAAGCACAAAAATGCCTGTTGCTGGACCAGTCGTTGCTATGGACCAATTTGAAGAATTAACGACATACTCCACCCCAGGTCGAATTGAAGTATTTAATATACAAGCTGGAAAGCCAATGACGGAAACACTTGTTGGTGGGTCACAGTCGAAGATTAATGTTTCGGTGCAATCGATGAAAATGTTTCCTGACAAAGCTGGGTTGGTATATGGAGGTAATGATGGGCGAGCGAATGTGATTAACTTCACAAATAGAAGGTTTGTTAATGACTTGTTATTTATTATATGGTTATATTAAATAGAATATAACTAACACACAGCAACCAATACACTTACGCATTCAAAGCACAACACAAACGAATCAGCAAAGATGTGTGTAACTACTTCCCCGTGAATTCGATTTCATTTTTCAATAAAGACGTGTTTTTAACCGCGGGGAGTGATGGGACTATCAATATTTGGGACCGAGTCAAAAAGAGTCTTGTGAATTCGTTGGGCTCACCCGTCCAAGGCGCTTCAATCACTACCGCGGACTTCATCTGCGATGGTGCGTTTTTGGCGTACTCTGTCGGGTATGACTGGGTCAAAGGTGTTGAAGGCACTTTACCCCCACAACAACAACTTCCCGTACTTAAGGTAGTTGATGAGCCGTTGATTAAATCCTAATTAGATATTTTTTTGTGGGGATTGCAGATGGAGAGTTAATACCTCTTTGTGTTATTTCTGTTATTTCACAATTTTTCATAGAAAGAACTCATTAAAAATAAATAATAGATGGTCGTGTTTCTCCTTATGTTGGCAGTGGCCATAAGCGAGAAGTGCCAGTGTAAAATGGTGAACGAAGACGGCGGATTTGACGATTCGTTTGAGTGCGGAGGAAGCAGTTTTAACCCAAAGGAATGCATTATTTATACGGAGTTGAATAGTATCAAAAATTTGCCAGTGGAAATTAAAGAACTCAGGGTTTTGTATGACGGAGTTGATTTGACTGTCGACGAAATGACTACCATCAATAAACTTGTTATAGGACAAGACTTTGCTGAACTTGATTTTAGAGGAAACGGATATTTAGTTATCAATCGATTGGAGAATGAGAAAACAGGGGAGTCGGTGTCTATCTCAACTGGCATTTCGGTTGATTTTAATACCGTAAACACACAACTGAATTTGGAGGTACGAAGTGACAGTATAGTCAGGTATTTTGATAAAAATATAAAGACTGCCCAAGTCAGTGGAATTGTTCAATTTAAGAAGGAAGTTTATATAGAAGAACTTATTATGTTATCCAACGGATATGCATCCTTCTTTGAGAAATACACAATTAATACATTGAAAATGTTATCCACGGAGTTTGTGGTGTCGACAGACAAAAAAGGGGTTCTCAAGGCACTTAACCTCGAATCTTTAAGCAGTGATTTGGCGGACCTCCTCTTATTCAAATCGAATAATAATGCATTTCCCGACTACGTGCTTTCGGGTAAAACACAAGAGGAATTTGACTTACGCATCTGTTGCAATAAGAAAGAGATGCACTTAGTAAAAAAGGGGAATGAAGTGAAATGTATGGTACAAATGTGTTATTTGTCGAATCACTTAGAGCCTGAAACATGCTTTTCAGCTCATACTGATAAGTCTGAATATATACCAAGCTCTGTTATGCTCCAAGAACACTACAACTTGTCCATTGTTATTACAAACCCAGTGTACCAACTTATTATTCCCGAAACAATGAACATAGACTTATATCTTAACTCTTTAACAATTGAAGAAGTGGTTGTCCAAGGAAGTAGTACTTTGAGGGGTGTCTATCAGAGTGTCATAGGAAAGAACATAAAACTAGTGGACGCAGAGATCCGACGACTTGCTGTCATAGAACGCGCCGAATTTGAAAATACAACTTTAAAAGGGTTTGTTGATGTTACAAATAGTGAGTTGTATATTAAAGGTTCGTTGATAATGGACAATGTGTATATGATAGCTTCTAATGTGGTATTTTCATTCATGGGAGGGTTGATTTCAACAAGAGAGTCGAAAGTAGTGATTCTCTCTGCGACGTTTCAAGGAGACTATAATGATGTCACAACACAAGGATGGCTGATGACGAAAGGTGAGTTAGAAATTGAAGGTAAAGTAGTGTCGAAGTATTTCAATGGAGTGTCGAATCAATGTCGTCCCATTGTTGTGGCTACAGACACAAAAATTAAGTACACCGCACAGGCATTTTCAGATAACGACAACACTGTGATCTTTGATAAAAGTTCCAATCGCATCTACACATGTTTTGATTTCAGTAAAGAGCTTCCAATTATGAACTTGGAAGACTGTAAAATTAGTGGTGAACAAACACCACTTCCTTCTCAACAATGTAAGTGTCCAGCAACAAAATGTAATTATCTAATTGATGAAGGTGCAGAGGTGACTATAGAAGATGACATTGCTGGTATTAAGGGAGACAAATTGTATATCATTGGTGACGATGTGATGATCAAAAAGATGGTATGTGGCACTGAATGTTCTTTAGATGGTGATATGACTATTGGTGCACTCGCTGGTGATCTATTTAACATCTATGGGTCGATAGAAATTGGTGACTTTTTGGAGCAAGAGAAGGGGATGGTGTTCAATATCAAGAACAGAGCTTCTTTATCATTAGATGTTATTTGGATCTATAAAGTCAACATATTCATAGACGACAGTGGGACACTCGAGATGATTTCTGAGTTACTCGAAAACTCGTACATTGAGGTTGCTGCCTCTGGTCTTTTTGTTGTTTATGATTCGGACATTGAAATACGGCATACTCAAATTTCAGTCAGTAACCACCCACACAATGCAATTGCCTTCAACTTAGATACAGAAGCCGAGTTTACCAATTCCTCAATATTTATAGTAAGAAACGATGAGAATGAATATCAAGGGGAGACTTATATCCTTCATTTTAAAGAAGGTTCAATACAAACCAACATGCAAGTAGTTACTCTTACAGGTGAGAAGATAACCAATGTCTTCTCCAAAATCAAGTGCGGGACATACTTAGTTGCGCGACGTTTGTTATTACTTACATATTACTAATAAAAAGTATGAGAAGAGACATTGAGGTATAGCATATCAAGATGATGTTGCATGTCCGAAGTCCCCATTCAATATGCGAGGAGTGAATGTCGTACTTGTCCCACGAAAGTGGCGCAAGACCAAAGACAAAGTACTTCTTGGGTTCTTGTATGTTGGGTTGTTATGTACTGGGGTCTTAGCAACAATGTATGTTGTCGTCTCATTACTTCGCTCGAGTAGGCGGGAGCGACTGTTAAACAATTAAAAGTAAAAGAAGGGAGTAGTACGTTTATTTTCGCTGTTTGGAATAAAACGAATAAAAAGGGTTTGTAGAATACCCATTGATAGGAATAAAAGTGTACAAAACAATGTGATTAGCCTTGCTTGGACATGAGACAATTCAACGATACAACTATTTACGGCGATGAAGAAGTAGAATGTCAGAACGCAAAATCAAAGACATTACCCTCTTCTTCGTGTTTGTGTGTCTCACAAAAAGTAATTTCTGGCTCGTCAATCGAGTGTTCCACCTTCTCGCTGTGTTCCAAAATCCCATTTTGAATGGTAGGAGATCCAACCGTCTTCACTTCAGTCAGAAGTGACGACCGTTTACACTGTTGAGTTGGGGAAGGTATCCTATTCGAAAAAACAAAGAACGACTGTTTGGTGTCTAAACCAGTTTGCGATTGCTTACTCAGGTCATCGCAGGCAACACCTTTATCAAAACTAATATACGCTCGAGACCGCTTCAACCTGGACATGTCGAATATCACTTTCCAGTTTCACTTTTTTCTTTTATATAGTTCTTTTTTCAAAAAAACAGAGTACTCTTTATATAGCCTTTCGTTCCTTATTGAGTTGGGAAAAACATCTAGATAATTTACTTTTATTGCTTGTACTTTTTTCAACGATCTTTATTTTTTCGTATTCTTTTTTTCAACAACTGCACTTTTTTTTGAATTCTTCAATTTCGCGTATTCAAATCGTATCTGGTCGGGATTTTTACAGATTTTGGGTTTTCTATATTTGTATTAATGATAATCTATAAATATAATTTAAATAAATAACATTTTTTAAAACCGTTTAAAAGGTGAAATTCAATTTGAATGAACAGCAAAAATGTTATTAATCATAGACAACGATTATTTGATAGTAATTCAAACTAATTAAAACGTACTTCTCTCAAAACTCCAGTTGGAAAGAATTAAAGTACTTTTGAGTTTGAATTATTTCCTTACTCAATTCTGTTTTGTTTTTTTTTACTATATATCAATAGTAATATTCTATAATTTTAATTAATATTATTTATTATTGGAGCAAAAAAGTTCTTTACCTTTATGATAAAAAATTCCACTCGAAATTTTTTTCATATTCGGAGATTTTCCCGGTTTGGTACGGGAATCTTGAAATACTCATTCCAAAAAAAAATCTTTTCCCCAAACCCCGAAGCTTCCAATCCATCATTGATCTTCAAATGGAACTGTATATTACAAACCAACAAATAAAACATCAAAATGAAAAAAAGAAAAACATTTTAAATAACACAAATACAGTCAATAGTCTCCAAGATACCTCACAACCGTCTTTCTATTCTTTTCGAAGAACAAAACTGCTCTTTTCATCCCCAACTGAACTTTAATGTTTTCAATTTTTTTAAATTCCCTCAAGAATTCAACACACATGTCCTGCTCATTCTCTTCTTTACTCTTCGTCTTCGTCGGTCTAACCTTCACACCACACGCCTTGAGATAATCTGAAAACACAGTAAACCCTTCCGCCCATTTGTTGTTGTCTCCTTTTAATTTCGTCTTGTCACGATATATCGTTTTAAGAACCTGAAGCACTCGATCGTAATCAATCCCATATAACATGTCGATTTCTTCAGAACCTTCAACTACCTCTACACTATTCTTGTCTTGACTCTGTCGGCACGTAAACTGCTTTTCGACGTTTTCAATGACGACATCATTTTTTACGAGATCGCCAACTTTCGCAGGTGTTGGTGAAATATCGACGCGAGCAGGTAATTTTGTTCGCACGAACTGTGTTGCGTCAAGCTCGTCTTCTGTTTCACTTTGGTCCTCTGATTTTTCAACGACCAAATCGACAATAGTGTCTTTGGGTAATTGTTCCACGCGCCCGATCATGACAAAGTCCTTTTGATTTTGGATTGGGCGAATAGGTTTAATCTCTGGGATAAAAGTGGGGAACTCGACTTTTTCCTTTCTTTGAGGTTCGAAGGCTACTTCCTCTTTTAATACGTCGTTCTGTTTCTTAAGTTCGTTATATTTTAAACGAATCAAAGAGATATCAAAAGATATTTGTATCTTGTCGACACGCTCTTTCTCAACTTGCTTTTGAAGGTCAACACACATCTTCTCTGCTTCTTGTGTCTTTCCAGTTTGATGTTTGAACTTACACTCAAGGTCACTTACACGCTCTTTCAGTTTCTTTACTTCTTCTTTTAGGCGAGTGTTTTCTTCTTTGGATGTTTGAGAAGATCGCAGTAGAGCAGAGTATTCATCATATTTGAGTGTTATTGTATCCATTCATTTTATAAGTTCTTTTTAATTTCTAAAACTAAAGTATTCTATTCTATTATATTTTTTATATAATAATATGGTAAACAAAAGAAACTATATAAACTTCATAATTTATTATCAAATATTAGTTATGTATACAAGGAAGAAACGATTGTATTTGTCACCATTGAAAACACTTAAATAGCATAAAACTGCTTTATGGTGATTTGAATATAAGGAAAGATTCAAGGAAACTTGAAAGATTAAATGATTTTAGTTCTAATAGAATTGGTTTGTTTCAGCTTGGCGCAGTATCACAGTGTCTCAGTCATTGAATACACCCAAGTGGAGTGGTTGTATTCTCTCGACGTTTGCTATCAAGTCACTGCTGAGTTGTTTAGGAGAAACACATACCACAATTCAAACACTTTTAATATGACGACATACAGTGACGACACATGTACCACCGAAGTTAATCGAGTGTATGTGACGTCAGGGGAAGTTGCGACCGTTCGTTTTAATTTGTATGCGATTCCTTTAGAGGATATATCGTATGAATATTTCAAATTGGAAACCCCAGTGACCCCAGCCACAGTGGTGAGGATATTAGTTCCTTCAAACAAATGTCAATTATGTGGAGTTGTTGATTGTAGAACAACCGTGGGGTATATTCCATCAAATGACATGCTTCACATAGGAACGGAATTTTTCAAGTCTTCGAATGGGACGTGCGAAGGCGACGCACTTACTTTTCGACCCGAGACTCCGTGTGGATTCACGAATAAAACCCGATATGACACTTCGACATTCTCATACATCACATATTCACAAATTATAAAATGTAACTTTACATGTGGGAATGGTGGAGAGCTTTCAGACAATCAAACGAAATGTATTTGTCGCGAAGATGACCATTTTGTGGTTGATGCCGTTGAAGGTGAAGGACATGGGAAGTGTCTTTGTGATTCGAAATACACTGAAAGTACAATTGGGACGTGTGTTTTTGCATGCAAAGGAAAGGGGAGTGTTTTAGAAAGTGGCGACAAGTGTATTTGCGATCATTCACGTAATTACTATGGAGAGGATCCATTCTTTTGTTTGTACTATTGCATTGGGAGTGGCAACATCACCAACAGTGACAATGATGGATGTCAATGTAATGTTAAAGAAGGGTTTGCATTGATCAACGACACGTGTGTGTTTCAATGTCCGATCCAAGGAAGTGTTACAAACAATGAAAATGATGGTTGTGAATGTGATAACAAGAGTGGGTACTTTTTCATTAACATGACATGTGTTTTTGTCTGTTCAAACCGTGGAGAAATAACAAATGAAAGTAATGATGGTTGTATATGTGATAATTCTTCAAATTATTATTTAGTAAATAACACGTGCACGTATTTGTGTAGCACAAAAGGGGAAATCACAAATAAGAATAACAATGGATGCATTTGTGATGCTCATTCTAATTATGAAAATGTGAATGGCAAATGTGTACTTCAATGTTCTTCAGAAGGGACTGTATTGAACGAAAATAACAACAGTTGTGTATGCGACGAATTCAACGGATATTTTCTTCACAATGAGACATGTCTATATCGCGACTTTACATCTTTACTTTCTATCTGGATCACCTTTCTTTATATTGTGATTGTCTGTATTTTTCGAGTTAAATGTTCTAATATCTTTAATAGAATAGATATAATATATTAATAGTAAAAGTATCATAAAAATATAGGATAATTGAGATAGAACGGAAACTTGAAAAAGGCATATAATGAGCACTGTAGTCAAGCCCCTCCCCTTTGGAAATAAATACATCTTCGACAAATTGTTATTCCAGGAGAACTCATTGTTACTCTCTTCGTATTTTGATGTCATCATTTCACCGGCACACCTTCCCGAATTCAAGACATATAGCCGATTACTGGTGGAGTACTTCATTGCAGAGGGAAGTATTTGCGACTTGTTCCGCGAGGTTGCGCAACACGACGTCGACCAAAATACGGTTGAGGTGCACAACTTCAGAACACAATCGTCCATTTTAAGGCTATTTGTGGAGTACTCGACACTCTTTCTAACTGAATTTGCAAAGAACGCACTCCAAGACGTCCTCCAAAAATTGATTCTCGACCAATCGGTGCAAACGGAAGAGTTGACGAATTTACTCAAAGGAGGTGTTGCTGAATCACTCAAATACATTCCAATGCATGTGATACGAACATTACAAATCATCGAAGAGGAAGTTGCAAAGAAACAAACAGGCCAGATCAAGACGACGTGGGTTTATGTGAACTTATTCTTCTTAGTCTTTCTCTGTCCATTGTTAAATACCCCACAACTGTTTGTCGAGGGGATTTCTCAGAAGGACATTTCTCTGAACGAACAGCGAATTTCACAATTTTCACAATTTGTGGCACAAACCATTCGAAACGGGAAGGGGATTAAAGGTGTGAGTGTCATGGTGAACGAAACAATTGCGTTTTTGAAAGAACCGGTTTCGATTTCTCTGTCGAAACTGGGGATTAACATGGTGGAACAAACGCGACTCCACCCTGCACTGGCTCAAGTGTTTTTGGATCATAAAGATTATGTGTATAATTATTTGATCATTAACGAAAAGAACGTGAAGGTCTCCTCCGTGTTTTTAACAGCTATCGAACCATCACAAGTCAAGATGAATGAAATTGAAGCACTGAAGAACCTCGATCGACTGCTCTTTGCGTATAACGGAAGGTATGAAAAAAGGGTGCAAGACGTGTTGAAGGATAATAACACACTCTCTGCATATATATACCAATTGTCTCAGAAGATTAAATACATAAATGAACAAATTGAAGAGGAACTCTTAACTAAACAACGGTTGCAAAGAGAACTTAAGATGTGTGGAAAGAGCGGGAGAAGCGAAGACTCGCTGTCAAATAGCAGTAGTATGAGTAGTTTCACCAATTGATGTGTGTAAATGTCGAGTTCAGTTTTTTTGGTATGAAACGGTCAAATGGCATCTAATAGTAAATTATTAAATACCATTTTTTTACTTAATTATTAAATATTATTAAATTTTAAAACTCAAATGGTTTATTTACTATCAACTTGGATATAACTCATTTCTATTTTTTAAAAATAACTTTTTAGGTTATTTTTAAAAGTTTTATTTTCTATTTTACAAGAGGTATGTAATTTCTTTAAAGGAAAAAACAGATCATATTTAGGTTCAAATTGTACTATTAATAGAAATGAGAACTATACCTTTATTGTGTTAAAGGAAAAACAAAAAACAAAGGTAAATCGAATCATTAACTGGTATGAATACTTTAAACCTTACTGAACTTTAACGTCATTTCCATTAACAATGGTTATGTCGACTATCATTGTGTCTTTATTTGTGTACCACACATTTGCTGTCTGTCCAAACATTACGTCAGAAACGGCATTATCAGAGTATTGTCAAATAGATACACTCTCTTTGGACTCTCAAACACTTACCCTTAACCAAGGAGCTATTCTTGAAGTGAGTGGCGATGTCACTCTTGAAAGAAATGCTATTTTAATAATGCAATCCAACTCAAGCTCAATTATCGAAGGAATTTTAAGTACAATCCGAAAAGGTTCTATTTTTATTTCTGACACGTCTTCACTTTCAATTGGTTCAATTTCGGTAGACAAAGGAGAAAGTATTCTCACCCTCAGTGATAACTCAATAATTGTTATTAACAAACAGACTCAAGACATTAGATCGATACAAATTAAAATGAACAACAATTCTGTTTTTGAAGTGGGATGTGATGTGACTTTTGACACCTATGCATTACTGGAACTCAATGAGAATTCATCTGTGAATTTTCAAAAGAGTTCAACTCTCTTTGGTTCTTTGCTACTCACTGACAACTCACGTGGTTCATTCAACCAACTGGTTTGTGACTTCAAGGGGTCTGTATCTATAACTGGAAATTCGACAATCATTGTGTCAAACATTTTAGACATCACCTCATACTGCTCCTCGATTCTCTTTGAAAATGAAATTAGAGGAATACATTCAATCGTTAACCAGATGAAAATATATAGCAAGTTGAAAGTAAACGAGAAAAGTTCTATAATGGTGGATGAGATTGATATTGATAACTCCATTTCTTTGGACGTTTCACAAAACAGAACAATCAGAGATTTACCTCTATTCTTTTTTGAAAAGGAATTCAGTCTTCCAGCAAATATGACAATTACAAACGAAAGCAGTTTCGATTTTGCTATTACCAAAATTCCATTGACCCAAAGTGAAATGCCAGATGGTTTTACTCTCCTTGCTAAAGGGCATTTAATTCGATACAACAATCCATCAGATATTATATACTGTCATGTAAATATAACCAAACTCGACAATTATGTGGAACATTACTGTCCATGTTTTGGTTGTTTTATAACACCACTTGAAATGGTAAGTGGCATTGTTATCAATCACACCTCAACAGTTGTCAAAAACGAAATTAGAAGAAACACAGAAGAACCTGATGTTGTGTATATCGGCGACCAAACAATTTCATTGTTTCATGACACGATGTCAACATTTACCATTTCAATTGTGTCGAACAAGGTGGAAATGGTCGATGTGCAACTTCTCTCTAAAACTGTATTTTTTGAAGCAGGAAATGGATTTTCATTTGGTGAAATCCACTGTTATTATGGGTATTTTAAAGAAAACTTTTTTCATTGTAGAAATGCGATGGATTGTGATGGTATTATTGATAAAAATATGAGGTGTGATAATTGTACAGCTGACAACTGTGATAAATGTACAAAAGTTGGAGGTGTTGAACAGTGTACTAAATGTCGTGATAGTTTTGTGTTATTTGAAAATTCATGTAAAAGCTTTTTCCATTGTTTAGCTCACACAAGGGGATTTTGTGTAAAATGTGAAGAGGGTTACACACAATCTGGGAGCGATTGTATTAAAATTACTAAAGATGATGTCTGTCAAGTCAAATCTAATGATGGAAAGTGTTTACTGTGTGACACAACAGACAATTTAATAAACAATAATGGAGTTTGTTATCAACCAACCGAAGAGATGATAGAAGTTCAGCAGAACAACGTCATTTATTGCAAAAAGGGATTTTACTCAAATGGAACATTTTGTCTTGATTGTAAAGAACATGACCCAGATTGTTTGTTGTGTGAGAATGGGGAACCCACAAAATGTGAAAATGGTTACATCTTTGGAACAGACAGAAAGTGTCACTTACAGTCTTGCGATGTTGAAGGTAATAAGATGGAAGATACAAACGGTCTTTGCGTTCAGAACATTGATCAATGTATCAATGTAGTGAATAATAAGTGTGTTGAGTGCGCAAAAGGTTACATTATCACGGATGACAATACATGCGTTAATGAAAGTAAAGAATGTGAACTATTTGGTGTTGGAGGGTGCAACAGATGCATTTTTGGAACATACTTGGACTTCAACACATTGAAATGCAACAAATGTGACTCTTTATGTGCCAACTGTTATAATAATGATACATTTTGTACCTCATGTTATGGAGGATATTTCTTGAGTGGAGGAACATGTAAATCGGGTGGTGAATTGGCAAACAAATGTAACATATTAACATTGAGTGGGACAGGTTGTGTGTCATGCAAAGAGGGATACTACCGTGTTGGTCTTGACTGCTTTAATTGTCAACCCAAATGTGGTACGTGTCTCAACGACCACTCTTGTTTAACATGTGGACAGGAGTACTTCAATACAAACGAAGGAGATTGTTTGTTACAAAGTGGACTTGTTGGGTGTGCAACAAACGTGACAACTTTTGGGTGTTCCATGTGTTCTGATGGGTACTATACAGTCAACGAAAACCAATGTGCCAAGTGTAACAATAGTTGTACCAAATGTATAAATGAAGCCAAATGTTTGTCTTGTGAAGAAGGGCTTGTTCTTGTAAACTTTAATTGTGTGGCATATAACACAATTGAAAACTGTGTCAAGTCAAAGAATTCGAAGTGTTCCAAATGCACTTTTTGGAAATCACCTAACACTGACGGAACTCTTTGTGTTAAGAAGGTTGTGTGGTGGGTCATATTCATTGTCATACTTTTAGTATTGATGTTGATGGTTGGAACAATTGTATTGGTGTGGTTCCTCGTAAAAAGATACATTAAAGCTGAAGGGAAAACAGTCAAACACACTTTGTTTAATATTCACGATTCAAACATTGCATTTGTTGATCTTGGTGACAATGTTGTTGTCAGTCACACGATACTACAATTTGGAAACGAAGATGAATATATTAATGTGATGAAGAGATCAGGAAAGTATTTTGTGTCGGCAATACCAGTCGTCATGCAATGAAAATTAACATCACCACTGTTTCCCACATAGAGAAATATAAACTACACTTTAACCCCAGCGAAGTTGTATTACAAAGGAACAAAGCATGTGAATTTGAAGTGTTTCTTACTGCTCTATGTACAATGCGTTTGAGTAATGAAGTTGCGCTTTCTGTTTTCAACATCGAAGAAGACAAAAGAGTTGTCAAGACCCTTACACTCAGTGCAACAACAAAACTTACAACACGACTCGATCCTGATGAACTTATTTTGAACGCCGAATCTATTGGTGAAGGTTCTTTTGCTGTTGTGTATCTTGGTTTATTCCGAGGAAATGCTGTAGCTGTAAAGAAGATGAAGGACATAGCAAATCCTCAACAAATTGCTGACTTTGAAAAGGAGATAGTGATGATGGACAAATTTCGAAGTGAGTATATCATACACTTTTACGGAGCTGTGTTTTTCACAAACAACGTGTCTGTTGTTACTGAATATGCCGAATATGGGAGTTTTGCAAATCTGAGGAAAAAAGACAACGAAAAGAATGTCATTAGCGTTTCCATGAAGATTCGAATCAAAATATTGAAAGATGCGTCAAGAGGGATTCAGTATTTGCACACAAACGGTATTCTGCACCGAGATGTTAAGCCGGATAACATCTTAGTTGTCTCATTAAAAGATGATCAAGTGATTAATGGGAAACTGGCTGACTTTGGAAGTGCAAGAAATACTAATATGATGATGACTAATATGACATTCACAAAAGGTATTGGAACACCAAAATACATGGCACCTGAGGTACTTGAAGGTCTAAAACATTACAACAAACCTGCAGATATCTATTCGTTCGGTATAACCATGTATGAAGGAATAACATGGAGAGACCCCTATCCAAAAGAGAATTTCAAGTTTGCTTGGTGTATAGCTGAATATGTTGATAAGGGAGGCAGACCAGAAAGAGTTGAATGTCTGACAAACGAAATGTATGGAATTATAAATGAAACGTGGGATCAAGACAAACAGAAAAGGATTAAAATAGATGTGTTGGTGGAGAAGCTTGAAACATTGTACACAACAATTTGAAGTAATGGCAATGTTGAGTTGTTTTGTACTTTTGATTTGCTTTTGAGGTGGAAAACATAGAGACTTAATTCTCTGTTTCAAGAAATAAAACATGTGTAACTCAACGATAGGAAACAATCTATTTTATAATACAATACCTCAAAATACTCAAATTGTAAAAATCGAAATAAAAAATAAAAGTCGAAGGAGTTGATTAAACAATATAAATAGTTCAAAATAAAAAGTTGTAAGACCACACTCAGAATAAGTTGTAATCCACACAACAAGAACTGAAACTTATTGTGTGAATAAGCAAAAATGATAATAAACCAAAAAGAGTCAAAAACATTAGCTAATTGTAATTTAAAGGAGAGCACACCCCTTTTCCTTTTCTTTCTTCTTTCCACTGGCATTGCTTGGGGAGATGACAGCTCTGACGGCTTCATCGAAGACAAGTCTGAGGTTTTTCTGGGTCAATGCTGAGCACTCGATGTACTTAACAGCGCCAATGTCTTTAGCTTTAGCCATTCCTTGTTCTGTAGTAATTGGAGTGATCTTCTTCTCTTCAAGTCTTTTCAATTGGTCTTTGTCTTCTCTCATATCCAACTTAGTCCCGACAAGAAGGCAAGGAGTCTTGGGGCAGTGATGGATCACTTCTGGTTGCCATTTAGAAGAGACGTTATCGAAAGAAGGTGGTGAAACAACAGAGAAACAAATCAAAAAGACATCGGTCTGTGGGTATGAGAGTGGTCTAAGTCTATCATAGTCTTCTTGTCCTGCAGTATCCCACAACCCCAAGTTGATTGGCTTTGAATCTACCATTACTGTCGCACTATAATTATCAAAGACTGTTGGGATGTACTCGTTGGGGAACGCATTGGTGGTATAACTGATAAGAAGACAAGTCTTCCCGACAGCTCCGTCGCCAACAATCACACATTTTACAGCTTGCATTCTATTTTACAGTTCTGTGAACTCCTTTTTATGATGGTCGTGGAAATTTCAGTTTGGGAAATACTAGTAATTGTGACTTTTTTTACTAGAAAGAAGCTATTATCCAAACGCTTATTTTAGAAACGGGAAGACACATTTTAGGTTTTATTATATATATAAATAGATACGGGAAGACTTGGCAATTCAAGTTGTAGTTTTGTGTAATAAATTATTTTATTTAAATAATTGATATTTATAGAAATCATCTTGAATTTGAGAAGAATAGTATTAGACTGCGTTTTTTAATAATATATGACTTATTTGAAATATGAAAAAATAACAAATAAGTTTTGTTATTAGTAATGTTTAATTTAAAAATTATAAAAAATTAAAAAAAAACAATAATAATTAAAATATTTTTTTTATCACCTAAAAAAATGTCAGTTATAGCATGAAAAAAACTATAAATCAAGTTTTAAAATAAAATACAAAAAATAGAAACTTTAATTAAAAAACTAATCATATTTTAAAAAATTGTTAATTGTTTTTACTATTTTGTTTAAAATAGTTAATTTTTTAGTTTTCTTTAAACTTTTATAAATATACTTTGTTTAAATTTTTATAACATTTTATTACCATTTTATTATTTTTGTTAAACTTAAATAAAATTTTATTAATCAAACATTATAAAAAAACTATAGAATAATTAATGATTGATTAACAATACAATTTAAGATTAATTATTATAAAAAAAATTAATAACAACATGTTAAGCACATATATTACAATTAAACTAAATTTTAACCATATTTAGATAAAAACAAAAAACTGAAAACCCATATAATGCCCAAAGTAGCAAAGAAAACCCAAAAATCAGAAGCTGATTGTAACGCTCAAAACACTAAGCCACAGTTGCATCTCATTTCGCAAAATGAACAAATCACCAAACTTCTTTTTGTTTTTTCACAGACTCACCCCACTGTATTTCTCAAGCGCAAGAAAGTGTACAATTCGTTGGATTGATTGAAATAGTGACGGTTCTTTGTTGTGTAATTATAAAGGAGTTGTTTTCATTTTTTTTGCCTAGTACTAACCGGTATAACATTACTTAATTCATTTTTAAATAAATTATAGTTTGAACATAAATATAGAAAATTATAACTATCCTAATAGTTGTTATAGTTGGGTTGGAATCTATATAAAAAATTAAAAATAATTATAATTCAATAATAACCCAAATTCAAAAAAATAATCAAATTTCCAAATAATCCTTACGCCATTGTGCCCGAAACCTCTGGGTTATCAAGAGCGAGATTAGCGTATTCAGTCTCTAGGTCAAACATATCTTGTCTCGCTTCAATGAATTCGTTCTCTTCCATGCCAAACTCCGCATAGTGATGAATGAAAGCTCTTCTTCCGTACATTTGGTCGAAGTTTTGATTAACCTTTCCAAAAACTTGACACATCGAAGTGTGGTTCGCCAACATACAGGCGCTTCTTTTCGTCGCGGAGTACTGGCTATTGGGAACAGCCGTTGGGGGTTGATTGTTAATACCGCATTTAAATGGACACGGACAGAAATCGGCGATAGGAAGTCCATAAGAATTCTTCACCACATTAATAGCCAAATTCACTTCGCGGTTCGAGACATCTCCTCTATACATCATACAGCAACTCATGTACTTTCCTTTGTTAACTTCGTCGAGTTGGATCATCAAATTCTTACGATCAAAGAGACTCGTTGTCAGCTCTTGTACATTCAATGTTTGCCTTTGTGCCTTCTCCGGGGTGACAATTGGAGCGTACGACATCATAGCGAAGTGTACTCTTGGGAATGGCACAAGGTTTGTTGGGAATTCATTCAAATCCACATTGAGAGTTCCTTCAAACCTTAAACTTGCTGTGACAGAGCTCATCGCCTGTGCAATAATTTGATTCAAGTGTGAGTATGATGGACTTTGAACCTCGAGATGTTCCTGGCAGATCGAGTAAATAGACTCATTGTCAACCATGAGTGTGCAATCCGCCAATTTTAGCATCGCGTGAGTATTCAAAACTGCGTTGTACGGCTCAACAACTCCGCTCGACAGTTTTGGTGAAGGCCAAATGACGGTATTAATTTTTGTTCGCTTTGGATATTGTTCTGCGATCTTCTCGCAGAGCGCAGCGGTGAACCCACTTCCTGTCCCACCACCAACGGAGTTATAATAGAAGAACCCTTGTAACCCCGAGCACGCCTCGGCAGACTTTCTCAACGCTTCCATCGTCTCTTCCACAAGTGGCGAGAAGTTATTCTTCCCCAAAGCAAAGTTACTCGCAGCGTCTTCCTTAGCTGACAACAACTGTCTTGGGTGATACAATTTCGAGTAATTTCCCGTCTTAATTTCGTCGATAACTGTCGGTTCAGTATCCACAAAGATAGCGCGTGGCACAAATCTTCCGCTTTGAACTTCATTGAAGAACGCGTTATACGCGTTGTCGACGTTCTGTCCGTTCGACAAATTTTTAGCCAACCCTTCTTTGGCAGGTGTGCCATCAGGGAGGATCCCATGTTCTAAACAAAAGAGTTCCCAGCAGCTATTTCCAAGTTGGCAACCCGCCTGTCCAATATTAATAGTGATCACTTCTCTCATTTCTTTCTGACTTTTGAGATCGACAGGGTTGTTTATAAATCCCTTTAAACAGTTCTCCCTCACTTTCCTTTTTTGAGTTTTTCTAAAAACTCAATTTTTAGCTTTTTTTCTTTGTTGGTGCTCAAAAATAGTTCCATTGACGATATCAAAAAAATGTATTAAATTTATTAATAAAATTATAGTAAAGATGGTCTAGTAAATTTGTTTAATACATTTTTGAGTCAATAACAAAGAAGACAAAAACGTTCATTTCTCTTCAGTAAAAGCTCCCGACGATAACTGTGATAGCCAAGAAGTATCCGCACTTGAGTGTCATCAAAGAACTCATAGCCAAGAAAATCAAGAACCCACCAACCACAGTGATTTTTCTTTGCCAGAACAAAGTGTACCATATCGTGAAGATGATGACTGGTGTTGAAAGGGCAAAGACTTCCTTAACAAAGTATCTGTACAGTGCAATAACAATTGATGTGCAATTAACGAATAAGTATGGGACAAGAAGGATATGTCCCAACGAGAATAATGTGTGAATGATAATCAGTGCACCAATAGTGAAGAGGATGGTGCATACAACACATCCCACAACATCATGCGTCAATGGCATAAACTCGACTGCAGTCATCAACGACACTATTAATGTCACAAAAGTGACAACAACCGCTCGAGTAAATACAGCAGACTTCTTGGTGAGTAACCCAAACCCAATCACAAACAAGAACGCCGGTGTATTCAGTCCCAACTTTGGTATTTGCTTGACAAACAATTCCATGAACGTCCCAACGGCTGGGTAGAAAGAGATCACTTGGTTATAAACTGGGATGTAGTGGTAGTCGAGTTTCTTGATGACTTTCAAATCGCTGAAAGTCTCGAAGAAGAGAAGTAAATATCTTTTGAATGGTCCGCAGATCAATTGATTCTTGCAATACGTCAAGAACATTAAAGTCGAGAAGAATGCCACAGTTGCTAAGACTCCAGAGACAAGCATCAAGAACAATTTCTTGAATATCCTACCTCGATGTACACTTGTGGACACCACAAGTAACAAAATTGATACCACTGCAATGGCAAGGTACTATTTGTCAGCTATTTCGATATGAAACTAGTATGAAAACTACAAACAGCAATGTTTGGAATATCAACTGGGATCTTCACACCAAGGGGAAGTGGGTTGTTATCCACACAAATGTACTTATCTATTGTGGTCAACACATGTCTCTG